TTTTACCCTCTTAAAGATATTTTTGCAGGACATTTGTTTATAGATTGATATTTTCCACTGGCTATCATTCTACTGTCTATTGGTTTTATCTGTTACTGGTGGGAAATTAGCTATTTAACGACTCATTTCTTTGAAAATGTTTTTTCCCTCTGGCCTCTCAACTCTGATACATCTCTCCTCAGTTCTGAAAATGTCCTTTGTAATTTTTTTTTTTTTTTTTTTTTTAAGATTTTGCTTACTTGAAAGGCTAAGAAAAGGGAGAGACAGAGACCTACCATCTGCTGGTTCACTCCAACAGCCACAATAGCAAGGACTGGGTCAGGCCAAACCAGGACCCTGTAATTCCATCTGGGTCTCCCATGTGGGTGGCAGGGGCTCATGCACTTGGGCCACCTTGCATTACTTTCCTAGGCATATTAGCAGGGAGCTGGATTGCAATTGGAACAGCCAGGACTTCAACCACTGCACAGACATGGGTGCTGGCATTGTAGGTGGCAGCTTAACCTGCTGCACCACATGCTAGCACCAGCCCAGTTATTACCTCTTAAATACTGACTCTGCTCCATTTTCTCTTCCTTCTTCTTGAACTCTGACTAAATGTGCATTCAGACATTCTCAATCACTGTGTTTTCTAAGCTTCTCACTTATTTTTCTCTCAAAGTAAAAAGCTTTATAATAAAACCTACTAGATATAAATTATTATTCGATTTGAAACTTATCAAATAGCAAATACTGTATATGTATAGAGTACCATTGTATACCTTTTTCATAGGTGGTATCTTTTTGCCTCCCTGTGCTAATTTCTCAATAATTTCTTATAACCAGTCTTCACAAATTTTTATTTACTTGAGAGGGACAGGGAACAAAGTGAAGGAATGGCAGAGCACTATAATCCATTGATTCACCCCTAAATGTCCACAATGGCTGGGACTGGGCCAGGGCCAGAGCTGGGAGTGGGAAACTCAATCTATGTCTCACACATGGTGGGAGGAATGCAATTACTGAGCCATCACCACTGACTTTGAGGGTCTCATTGGTGATGGGTTTGGTGTCAGGAGCCAGAGTTGGAAATTGGGCCGACACTGATGTGGAATGTGGATATCTTAATAGCTAAACTAAACGCCAGCTTCATGACCAGTCCATCTACTCACGAATTCTCTAATTGTGTCTTACTTGCTGTTAATAATCTCAACTGACTGAACTCTTTAATTTCTGTAACTGTTTTTACTTCCAGAATTTCTATGGTTGTACTTGTGAATTTCTTCTCTAAACAAATTTTTATTTCCTTAAGCACAGTAAACAACTAATAGTTATTCTACATTCTTTTAAATCATTCCACTATCTAAATTACCTTAAGGTATGGTTCTGTTGTCAATTTGGCTCATTCTCACATATAGTACTTCAGTTTCAAACCTGTTTAACTTTGAGAGCTGCTGCTGGTTTTCCTTGTAACTTGACTAAATACCTTGAGATCTAGCACAAGTCAATGTCCTCAAAAGTATCTACATTTGCTTATGCTAGATGTTGGCAAAACTAATAGACCATGATCATACTTAGATTGACAACAGGTGGTTACCTCACTGGGCATTTAGGCTGTATGATTACAATGTCTAATACATTTTTTTCCCTCCCTATTCTGCTAAGCACAACCAGTGAAATAGCTTCTGTGGTCCCTAAGAGTAGTAAATGGAAAAAGTAAGTTAGGTTCTCTTTCATTAAAAGTATGTTCATTTTTGAGTAACAACTTAATGAAAAAATGACTTTTATTGGAATTCCCAAGTCTGGCTGGTCCCCAGTTTTTGTCTTTCACCCTTGTTTTAAGTAGTTTCTACAGATGAACTCTTCAACTCTAAATTTCACAATGGTCTTCGGAGCAAACTAGTTTTACTACTCCATTTCTCTATAGGTTTATCTTGGCAACTGCTTACCTTGGCAATAAATCTTCAAGGATCTTAGTAGATGTTTTCTCACTTGTTAGCTGACTATTTTAGTTGTCTTCAACAGTAGACATGCTAGAAGCAAATCCTACACTCAATTTTTGGTATAGTTCAATACAGCTTCTGGATTTATAAAAATTCCTTTTGTAGAAGTCAAAAATGACTACTAAACTGTCCTATCAATGTGGCACAACTTTCATCATTAATCTACTTCAAACTGTTCACATTTCTGATATCTAATTATTACTTCCTGTTGGAACCAATTTTTAGTATATACAACATTACAATTTCTTATATAATCATTCCTCAGGGCTCATATCTGCGTCTTCTCACTTTTACATTTCTTCTGCCACAAGTGTATCATAAGCCACCAACATCCATCAAGTGGCTGGATAACCTCTTTAATTGGACGTCTGCTCATTCTTGTCTCCATACAATCCATTCTCTGCCATAGCAACCAGAGCAATCTTGTTTTAAAGGGCTAGATTACATCACGCAACTTGTGTAAAATCCTAACACTATATTTGAAATTTACATAAATTCCAATCTATAACACTGCGAGCAAATTCTTGTAATAATCTGATTCATGCCTATATATCCATAATTATCCTCTTATATAATGCTACAAACTAATTTTTTTCAGTTCTTCAAATATGCCAAATTCTTTCCTACCTCAGATTCTTGAAACTTACTATTCCTTCCTTCTAAAATTAGGCTTACCTAATCTTTGCATGGTTAATTATATTCACACACCAGATTTCACTGCAACTTTCTAAGAAGCATTCCCTGACCACCCAATCCAAGAGTATCCTGTTCTTTTCTTCTAGAACACTGTAATCTGTGATTAAGTACTTAGGATGGGGCCAGTGCCATGGCTCAATAGGCTAATCCTCCGCCTGCGGCGCCGGCACACCGTGTTCTAGTCCCGGTCGGGGAACACCAGATTCTGTCCCGGTTGCCCCTCTTCCACGCCAGCTCTCTGTTATGGCCTGGGAGTGCAGTGGAGGACGGCCCAAGTCCTTGGGCCCTGCACCCGCATGGGAGACCAGGATAAGTACCTGGCTCCTGACTTCGGATCAGCGTGATGCACTGGCCGCAGTGCACTGGCCATTGGAGGATGAACCAACGGCAAAAGGAAGACCTTTCTCTCTCTCTTTCTCACTGTCTACTGTTTATTTTAATGTCCATTCTCCCAATTATGTGCAAGTCCTAGGCACAGGACAGGAGACCCTGTTTGTTATCTTCTCCCTCTGTGCCCAGGATATAGCATAATGTCTGGCAAATAATAGACATTCCAATAACACAACTAAATGACTGACTTCTCTCCTTTAGGCAGACCACAGGAAACAGTTAAGTCTGATCAGAAATTGTACACTAAGCACAGAATCACGACCATGGAGAGTAAGGTAAATGATGGGAATATGCATATGAATCAGGTCAAAACAGGACACACCCAGATATACAGTAATACCTATAAAGGCAAAATTACTTTAATCTTATTAATATGTAAAGGATAATGCCAGCACCTGCCTCAATAACTCAATATATGGTTATTTTATTATTGTCGTTAATACTTCAGTTAAAGGAAATTACAACCTATAAATGCATATATTTCTCAAGGTTGCTTCAAAGTTTGCTATCTGAACCTCCAAAATATTTTCTCAAGAGTCAATACTCCATACAGTGGTTCTTTTGTTTTAGTGCATAATGTTCACTTCATTATTCATGTATCCATTTTAACAAATATGAATCAAGCACTGCTTTGTGCCAGGAACTGTTCTAGCACTGGCGCTAACAATGTTAAACAAAACAAATAATCACAGCTTTATGAATCTTAAATCCATGTGACCAAACAGAAAAGAAGTAAAATATATAGAATCATATATGGTGATATATGCTATTCAAAAGCAGGGTAGAGGTTTAATAAACAGGGTCAGTACAATTCTAAACTATTATTAGAAATTTATAGTTCTTTCCAAAAGTGATATAGAAGATACTATTTATAGAATCTAAATATCACAAATAAAATAACATGCTTAAACAAGGAAAGACTTTTAATTGAAAAACTTTATAAAAACATACTTTCTTTCCCATGGCAGAATGGGCAGAAAACTGCTCAGGCTTAAGGTCAGTTAACAAGCAGTCATAGCCCGACTTAGGTTCTGCAAAAAGATGCAGGGCTAAAGAAAGGAAGAGGCAGAAAGCAGCAATGGAAACTGCAGAAAGAAAGAAATTAAGGGCCAAGGAGAACACCTGTTGTTAAGAATCCCACGGATAGGCAGCTCCTCTATTCAACCAGCACGTGGCCACCCTTTTCTTCTATTTCTGACCATGATACCTTTTCTATTTAGTATAGAATGTCATAACTTTCCCTCATTATTCTATCCCCAAAACAAATACTTAACTTTTAGCCTTTTTTGATAACCCCAATGATAGAGGGAAAGAAATCCCTTTTTTATCCCTACCTGTATCATTATAATTCACATCAAATGAATGTAGTTAGCCAATAAACTACTGTCTCCTTCTTATATTTTATATTAATAACTAGGATACAGGTCAGAATCTGGTGTAAACTACAAGATAAAAAGTTAGAATGTTTCACACAGCACCCCTAGCAACATGGTAATGCTACACCAGGAGAGAATGTCTATGAGCATTTCCACTACTTGAGAGAAATCATCATGAACTAAGGAAAGCTGGGGGTAACATGAGTAAGCCCTCTCTAAAACCACTGGCTCAGACAGCTGGGGTTACAGTGAGATAAGGAGTATATAAATTAAGCTTGTCCATAATTTGTTTTATTCCTCCATATGAGAAAGGGCCTTATAATTTTCACCCGAAAAAAGCAAGGGTTTTTAGTCAGTATCAGGTTTGTTTTTGTTTTTTGTAATTATAGTGTTCATTACAGTTATTTTCACAAAATCAAAGAATTTTTCCAATTAAATATAATTTGTACTTATATTCAAAATTTCATAAAATAAAACTTGTAAGTTTAAAGAAAAATAAGCAACCATATATAATAAAATGAAGCATTGGCAGAGAGATGCTGGCCATAATAATTACCTTTAAGGGTGTGTGTTTATTTTCATCTTCTTGCATCCACAGATCCTGCTCATAATAATATAAGCCATCATTGATAACTTTAGCAAGTTCAGATGTAATTTTTGCCCAAGACATATGGTTGCCTGTTAGATCTCCTCCAGGATGTTTTCTCATGTAAGGTGGTGTCTGAGTTACGATCAAAATCTTATTTAAATCCAGGTCATCAATTTCATAATCTGAATCATTATCAGACCAATCACCAAATGTGTTTTTTTGTCCTTCTATTTGCTCAATCTCTTCATCAAATAAAAAATCAAGTTCTTCTTGTTCTTGTTCTTCAGGAGGATATAGTTGATTTGATGCCTCTTCTGTTATAAATACTGATTCCTGAAGGAAGAAATTGGTATTTTACATAAAAACTTTAACACTTTTAAAATAAATGTCTAGGGGCTGGCGCTGTGGTATAGTGAGTAAAAGCTGCCACCTGCTGTGCCGGCATCCCATATGGGCACCAGCTTGAGTTCCAGCTGCTCGAGTTCTGATCCAGCTCCCTGCTAATGCACCTGGGAAAGCAGCAGAAGATGCCCCAAGTCCTTGGGCCCCTGCACCTGTGTGAGAGACCTGGAAGAAGTAATTGCTAAAGCGAAACTGAAGACTTAAAAAAACAAACCACAAAGTTGCAGTAAAAGAAGTATTAGATTTAGAATGAGAATGGTCCTTAGATCATCCATTACATGGCACTGACTTTTTCTTTAATATAAGGATCTTTGCCTTATGTATTTAAAAAGCAGAGTGACAGAGAGGAGAGGAAAAGAGTGGAAGGGAGGAGGGAAAAGATTAAGAGATCTTCCATCAGCTGATTCCCTACCACAATGACTTCAGAGGCCAAGGCTGAGCCAGGCTGAAGCCAGGAGCCTGGAACTTCCATGTGGGTGGCAGGGGCCTAAGCACTCAGACCATCCTCTGCTGCTCTCCTAGGAGAATTAGCCAGGAGCTGGACATGAAGCAAAGCAGCTCTAGGACTTAAACAGGCACTGATACTGGCAACCCAGGTCACAGTTTAATCTGCTGCACCACAATGTAGGTCCGGCATTGATTCATTTTACCAATGAGAAAACAAAAGCCTACAGATGTAGTACTATTTGCATATGATCTCATAAATACAACTAGAACCAAAGTCTTTCAGAGTCACTGATCTTCTGAATCTCACTCACAATGATAATACCGTAATTTAGCTAATCTCTCCACGCCATCCTCAACCCCATTTTACTCAGCCTATTTTCACGTCAAATTCTCCCTAATACTCACCAAGTTTTAAAATTTTCACCACTTCTGTAGAACCTAAAATGGTTATTGGCTAATATAACAAGTCCAAACTTTTAGATCCTAGATCTTCTAACAGCCAACCTATTCTAAATCTCCCAGCACAAAGAAATCAATTTCTCAGTCAGTACCACACGCCATTTTCTTTCTTAAAAAAAAAAAAAAAAAAGATTTGTTTTTATTTACTTTAAGAGCAGAGTTATAAACAGATTAGAGACAGAAAGAGAAATCTTCCATCTGCTGGCTCACTCCCCAAATGGCTGCAACAACCAGGGCTGGGCCAGGCCGAAGCCAGGAGCACCTTCTAGGTCTCCTATATGGGTACAAGAGCCCACGCACTTGGACCATCTTCTGCTGCCCTCCCAGGTATATTAGCAGGGAGCTGGATCGGAAGTAGAGCAGCTGGGACTCATATGGAATGCTGGTGCTGCAGGCTGGGGCTTTAAGTAGCTGCGCCACTGTGCCAGCCCCACAGGGCATTTTCTGACCTATCATCCTTCAGCTCATGCTAACTCCTCTTTGTTGAGAATAAAACAATTCCTCATCTTCTTTGAGAATTCTTACAGATGTAAATCTATCAGTGAATAATAAGTGCACCCTATAAGCCAGGCATTGTTCTAGGCAGTATAATGCAAAACATTTAACAATTCTGCCCTTATAAAGCTAATATTCTAGTAAATGGAAAGCTATTTATGAGATTTCTACTAAAAAAAAAAGCAAATTGAAAAAACACTGCAAACTTATTTTTTTACAACTATATACCCCCAGTGTTGTAGTCATTTAGGACATGAACAGGGGAAGATCCCTCTCTTCTAACTCTCCTTCTCTTTCAAACAAATCTTTAAAAATGATAATAAAAATCAACTATTCCTTAAAAAAAACTATATACCTTGTTTTTCACTTGTAGGTACAAGAAAACAACCTGAGAATAAACACCAAAGTGTTAATAACAGTAAACCCTTGGGGCTGGCACTGTGGCATAGTGGGTAAAGCTGCCACCTGCAGTGATGGCATCCCATATGGGCACAGGTTCAAGTCCCAGTGGCTCCACTTCCGATCCAGCTCTCTGCTATGGCCTGGGAAAGCAGTAGAAGATGGCCCAAGTCCTTGGGTCCCGCCATCCACATGGGAGACCTGGAAGAAGTTCCTGGCTTCTGGCTTCTGATCGGCGCAGCTCTGGCCTTTGCAGTCAATTGGAGAGTGAACCAGAGGAAGATCTCTCTCTTTTTCTCTCTTTGACTTTCAAATAAATGAAATAAATCACTTTTATAATTAAGAGATTTTTGGGTTGAAGATGACTTAAGTATGCATGCTTATTTACAGTAATGATGCACAGTAAGGAAAAGAATAAATCCTTATTGATACTGGAAACAAGTAATACAGTCAGAAGATCAGAAACACTTGAATTTCCAGAAAGCAGAAAGTAACTGGGATTATATTAATAATATACAAGAGTACAGGAAATGGCAACCTACAGCATATTTAAAAGCTAGGCTGTAAGGAGGCAGAAGCCACTGGTAGTCCCATCTGGATCCTAGAAAGCCTTGAGATAGCAGGTATCAAGAGCAAGAATGGACTATGTGACAGCATATGGACCATGCAGCAGCAGGTAATAGAAGGCCATCATGACAGATTGGCAATCATGCAACAGCCATCTAAACAGATTATTTGGAAAACCAACTACAGAACACAGGTAGAACAGTCTGCCCCAATCCCTTTATCTGAGAATATGAAAGCCCAATAATTTTTTTCCAAACAAAATAAAAAGGCTCACTGAAGGAGGGTTCATGTTTTAGGTCCTGAGGCTAGAATGATGTTGAACACTTTCAGGAGTATTCTAAAGCTCTAAAACAGCTGTGCAGTGAGGAAAGGCAAGATAATTTCACCAATAAATTAAATCTACGAAGGAATCTTGCCTCTAAGTGAAAAGTATTCCCTATTTTAGTAATCATGGAGGTCCAGAGCCTGCATTTCTGGTTTTCTGGTTCTTTGCCTAGACCTCCAGGTACCAAGAAAGTACAATCTTAGCTCACATTCTGCAAAACCAACCTTTAGGTGAACAAATCTACAAGACCACAAAAGAAATCCATACCAACGTAGTAATATTAACAAAAATCTCCAAACATAAGGTGAAGCCCACATTTTAAAAGATAAATATTTCAACAAACAAAAAAATTGATGGAAATGGCAAAAGTCCCAAGAGAGAACCTCAGACCCCTCAACTCCAGCAATGTGACAACCAAGGAGGTCCAATATCAGAGAAAAATACCAGAAAAAGGGAAACATTAGCTTCCCAAAAATGAAAGACATGAATATTCAGCACAATGAATAAAAACAGATCTACATCAAAGCACTTCATCCTGAAATTTCCAGAGTGGAGATGAATAAATCATCTTAAAAAATCTTCAAAAGAAAGTAAGTCACTTGATACAAGGTATCCAAAAGGAATAAAAAATGTCACTTGATAACAAAGTATCTGAAGGGACTATATCATTAGAGGAAAACTATCTGAGTGACAACAGAAAACGTCTTCAGAATTCTACAAAAAATAACTAGTCAAGATTTTTTTTCCTGAAATTGATTTATTTAAAGGCATACAGACAGGAAAGACAGGTAGACAGATTTTTCCATGGCTGGTTCACTCCCAACAGTCAGGTATGGGCCAGCCTGAAGACAAGAGCCAGAAATTTCATTTACATCTTCCATATGGGCAACAGGGACCCAAGTACTTGGGCCATTTTCCAATGCTTTCCCAGCGCATCAGCAAGAAGTTGGGTGAGAAGGGATTTAGGTGGGACTTGAACCAATACTCCAACAAGTGATGCCAGCATCAATAAGGTAAGCTGCGGCTTAACCTGCTCTCTCATCTTAGGTCTTACAAAAAGTACTGGCAATCTTTGGCTATAAAACGGAAATATCCTCGACTCCATAAACGGTTCTCATAACATTTTTAAAGCTAGACTCCAGAGGCTGGCATTGCGACAAAGTTGCCTGGGATGCTGGCATCCCACGCAGGTACCAGTTCATGTCTCAACTCCTCCAGTTTCAATTCAGCTCCCTGCTAAAGCACCTGAGAAAGCATAGTATTAGGGCCCCTGCCACCCATGTGGGAGATCTGGAAAAAGCTCCTGGCTTTGTCCTGGCCTAGTCCCAGACACTATGGCTATCTGAGAAGTGAATTAGCAGATGCAAAATCTATTTTCCCTCTTTGGATATAAAAAATCAGGGGCCAGCGCTGTGATGTAATGGGCAAAGTCTCCGCCTGCAGCATCAGAATCCCATATGGGCGCCTGTTCGAGGCTAGGATGCTCCTCTTCCAATCCAGCTCTCTGTAATGGCCTGGGAAAGCAGTAGAAGATGGCCCAAGCGGTTGGGCCCCTGCGCCTGTGTGGGAGACCTGGAAGAAGGTCCTGGCTTCTGGCTTCGGATCAGCTCTGCTCCAGCTATCTGCAGCCATCTTGGGAATGAACCAGTAGATGGAAGACCTTTCTTTCTGTCTCTTCTCTGTGTAACTCTACCTCAATAAATACATAAAATCTTAAAAAAAAAAAAAAAAAAAAAAACTAGATTCCAGCACAAATATCAGCCTTCCAAAGAACAACCCTCTTTTAGTACCAACCCTTCCAAAAGCTTTGCTTCATGAAATATTATCAATTTCAAGCAAACCATTATTTTTCATACCATTGAAAAATAAATATTGAATCACAGAGACTTTAAATGTGGAAGAAAAAATGTAAACCTCAGAATAAATGAAATATGGTACAAATTTTTGTCACTGAGTCCAGGATACTCTCCTTCTTGGTAACCTTGACAAATCACAGAAATTATTTAGGATCTTTAAGAAATTCTTTGAGAAAGGTCCTTTACAAGTTTAAAATGTATCCTGAGGTGGAGAAAATGTGTTAAGATTACAGTATGTTACTTGTAACCACCATTGGTAAGTTCTTTTTCATCAGGTTTTCAAACTTAACACTAACAATATTTAAATCCTGTAATTCTTTATTGTTTCAGGGGGGAGGTGCCCTGTGCACTGTATAAGCTTTTTGTCAGTAACCCTGGCCTCTGCCCACTAAATTCAAGAGCACTCTCCTAGTTATAACAACCAAAAATGTCTCCTAATATTCCCAATGTATCCTAGAGAGGCAAAACCTCAACATTTCCCATTCTTCCAGTAGAGAATCGCTCTTAAATCCTTAATGCTTCCTTTCTTCCTACTTTGTACCCAAGGAATTAAAACGTCCTATTCAGGGATAGGCATTTCACCTAGCAATTAAGCCAGTGGTTGAGAAGCCTGTGACCCCTATCAGAATTCCTAGATTTAAGTCCCAGATCCATTCTCCATTCCAGCTTCCAGCTAACATACAACCTGGGAAGCAGCAGGTGTTACAAGTATTTAGGTCCCTACAACCTACATGGAACTCCCAGATTTAGTTCCTGGCACCTGGCTTCAACCTGTCCCAGTACTGTTTCAAACATTTGGGGAGTGAACCAGCAGATGGCAGATCCCCTCTGGTTTTTAACTTCTTAAGTTTTTACTGAAGGTTAACAAATTCCAAGCGTTAAAATTTCTAATTTTTCCAAAATTTACATATACACCCAAAAAATAAAACATACTGAGTCTGTAACAACTAACCTTCAATTTCACTGGGGGTGGACGATGTCTCTTTTTTACTTCTATCCAAGGTTCTGAGTCCAAGTCAGGCAAACTTGTAGACAAACCTCTAGACATTGCTTGAAGATTACTTGTTTCAGTATTTTTCTTTGGGCTCAATGGACTTCCCATTCTTGGAGAATTTGGGGCAGACTCTAAAATTTTAAATTAGTTCTACAGTTAAAATGATACTGGCTTACCATTAAAACACATTTCAGTTTTTCCTTAACTTGGGCTTGATATTTTTTCACAAAAACATGAAAAGAATCTCAACTACAACTTTTCCAGTGACTTTCAAAAATGGAGAGCTTAAAAGATTTATTCAAAAGTGAAGCCACTGAATAATAAAAGAAACATGATCGATCCTTACACTGACCTGGTACATTACATTCAAGCATTTCATAAATATCAATCTAAGTCACTAATTTTAACAGTACGTCTCTTTGGGAATCAAGTTTTCTGTGAAATCTTAGATTAAAATTTTATAAAATTGCACTCTCAAATACTCTTAAATCATAATTAAGTTAAACACACACATGTATTAAGGTAAAATTAATTATTCTACTAGGATTTGAATGAAAGCAGCCATTGCTCCTACTTTCCATATGTCCTTTAACAAGGCTTGGCTTCAAGCAGTGAATGTAGTATGCCCACTTACTATCTTGGCTCATACCTGTACTATGAAGATTTAAAGTCCAAAATTCCAAACACAACACTTAAGATGTTTAAAAACTGTTGATATTTAAAAAGCCTTTCTCCAAAACCCTGCAACTTCTGGTTTATTTTTAATCAAAATAATTATACATTCAAAATATAATCTCTAAATTATCTCTCTTATGTTCTTTTACTTTCAGGAAAAAACGTAAATGTTTTAAGTTAGATTCATCTTCAGGTCAGAGGAAGCAAAATTAACTTACTTTGGACATTGTTTTAGAAAAACATATACTATAATATTATGTTGTAAATCTCAAATACATGCAAAATTTATTTATTTATTTATTTTTGACAGGCAGAGTGGACAGTGAGAGAGAAAGACAGACAGAGAGAAAGGTCTTCCTTTACCGTTGGTTCACCCTCCAATGGCCGCTGTGGCCGGTGCGCTGCGGCTGGCACACCGCGCTGATCCGAAGGCAGGAGCCAGGTGCTTCTCCTGGTCTCCCATGGGGTGCAGGGCCCAAGCACTTGGGCCATCCTCCACTGCACTCCCTGGCCACAGCAGAGAGCTGGCCTGGAAGAGGGGCAACCGGGACAGAATCCGGCACCCCGACCGGGACTAGAACCCAGTGTGCCGGCGCCACAAGGCGGAGGATTAGCCTCTTGAGCCGCAGGGCCGGCCCCGCAAAATTTATTTTTATGTATACTGTAAAATTCTAAATATTATTTACTTCTTAGTCATTTCACTGAAAATATGCAGAGTTGAATGTTACATGTATAAAACTAAGCTTAGATACCAAAAATCCTTTTTTTAGTTTCTAAATGAAAGGAACATTTCAGGACTGGGTTTGAGAAGTTTTCTAACATTTTATTCTCATCCACATGATAAAATCAGATGGCTTTATGGACACATGGATTCAACCACCAGGTTGCATTACTTTTAAAGAAGGTATTTTGTTTTAGAATAGAAAAAAGATCTAGAACTGTGCATCTCAGTATGGTAGGCACTAGCTATATGCAGCTATTGAGCACTTGAAATGTGGCTAGTCAGAAAATGTGCTGGGTATAAAACACAAAGATTTCGAAGACTTGGTGTCCCTTTCATCCCCAAAATAGTACCATAAGTTTCATATTGAGTATGTTGTAATTTTTGGATGTTGAACTAAATTAACTACTGAAAATATTAAATTTAGTAGCTCTACAGCTACTAAAATGTTTCAAATTTTGTGTACAGCTCACTCTACCAAACACTGCCACTCTACAGTTTTCTTAATGGAACATATATCACCAATTCATTCACAAAAGCAGTATAAATGAAACAATCTTTAAGCTACTAGTCTAGTTAGAGCAATCACACTAAGTCCAGAGAACTTACTTTATAATACTGTGAATTACGTATGTCCATATAATGAATAGCTTTAAAATTAGACTAAGAATCACTACCCCTGTTATCATTTGCGGATTTATCCAGTTCCTTATATAGCTATTCTGAGAATTAACTAAATAACTATGTATACTACATGCACAAATGATAAGAACAGCACTTAGCATGTGGCAGGAAATTCAGTAGCTACTTTTAACAGAAAAGTTAAATCTTTTAATAGTCGCCTAACAGTTTATTATATCATAGCTAAATGTTCTTCACGTTTGTATTATGCTTCCACCATGAAGTGCTTAACTACTTTCACAACACATGTGCTTAGAAATGAAATATCAGAATATCAAAGAATTTGGGTAAGTCTTAGGATCAGACTTTAAAAGGTGTTCACCATTTAATAAGCAGCACATATGCTGTTTTCTGATCTGTGTTCTTTTACAATGAAGATTTCAAACTACATACTTGTGTGAAATTTCAGGGCAACAGTAACAATCCTCCAATACTAAATGAGTTTAAATGATTGCAGTTACCTGACATTAATTTATAAACAAAAGATTCAGATACATATCTTAAAACAAGTTACAATTCCGAGAACACAGAAAAGTTATCTTTGCTGGTTTTATCAAATGAAAATTATCAACTTGGTTCTCCCAAGACGAATCACCATACATATTCCATATTTATCTAGTATGATTCTTTTTCCCACCATGGGAGAAATCACTGTTCTGGGTAACTCTAAGAAGTTTTTAAGAGGATTCTATTTTTGATGTGTGGAGCTTTGAAGAAGACTGCTGTCCATCAAGATTTTAAATGAAGTCCCATAGCTTCAAAAACAATAAAGTCAATATCGCCAGATACCAGACCTCTCAGCTCTGATGAACCAAATCCTTTCAAGAATTGATAATACAGTACTAAATCCACGGCACTGCAAAGGCCTACATTGCAAAAGTAATCTTACCATTCCCATAATCAGCCTTTTGTGGTGCATTAAGGTCTTCTGCCAGTGCAAATGTCAACCCATGTTAGACAATTCAACCTCCAATGAGGAAAAAATAGACAATTTAATTTCTTTGATGAAAAGGACCATGTTAAAATATCTTACCATATAAATCCCTCAAAAAGTACACACCAAGGGTTATGTTTCTAAAATTTAAGGACTTCTAATCTGAGATGAAAGATATATATGAAAGTTTCATTAGTTTTTTTCTACCTAAAGGTACATATATAAAGTCAGCCTACACTTCCTATCCCTTATTCTCACTTCAGACTTTTGGTAACATACTACTCTCCCTTGACCATGGCAATCTAGGTTCTTTACACAAGGGAATTAAGGTCAATAATTAGGAGATTCTTGGAAAAATTTATTTACATATTTATTCCTATGACATAATGAGAATTAGTATGATTCTAAGAATGTTCTTTTAGTATTTCTTCCTTAATCATCTAATTTGATGTGTAAAGAACCTAAAAATTTTAGCATTTAAATACACATTGTTTCATGCAATATGGACATGTATGAATTTGAGTATATAAAAAACACAAAAATGTACAAGACATTATGATTTTATCATTGTAATTTTATTAATAATGCATAAATAGTTATTGGACAAGTTATCACCAACTTGACTGATCTTAGCTACTCTGTAGAAAAAGGATTTTCTGTATTATCCATTACCCTATGCCTGTTCATAAGCTGGTTAAAAATGTCATCTTGGACCCCAAGTTTACACAATAAATAAATCTACTTATACAATCAGCCATTATACCTTCAAAAACAAAACAAAACAAAACAAAAAAACTCTAAAACAATGTCACTTTTCTTCAACTTTAAAACATCTGCCCAAGTTGCTTGCTGGGATTAGAAGCAGAGGGCTGACAAAGAAATATAAGATAAAAATACCTGTGAGACTGTCCATCATCAATGCTCTGACGGGCAAGTCTCTCATATTGATATATTAAAAATACATTTTGAAGAGTAAAGAAAAAAATCCTCATTCATATCTTCAGTTTCTTACCCAATCAAGTGTCCATGCTAACAAATCTGAAAGTCCTTACGAAGTATCATGACAACATGTCAGTTTTGCAATGTACACCATGCTGAAGGACAAATCAAATAGCAAAGGACCTAACACTCTGGGAAATGCTATTCAAACCTCTCTTTATCTGCTTTATTGATCTGGACATAAGTACATAAGCCTGGAAACAAAAAACAGAATCTTGTGGTATTTCCAGAATAATAATTAACTTTCCCACCCGTGAATAAAAGTAGCCCATGCAGCCCAGGCCAATTACACAGAAATGGGCAGCCCCTATAGAAACAATAGCAGTCCTCTGGTCTGTCTCACAGCATCGCAAAGGTGGTTATCTCTGCTGTCGTGTTGGCCCAACCTCCTCCACAAGGAGTTGAGTAGACATTCTTGCACAGAAGACAGTCCGATCTCTCATTTCTGCAGCACGATTTGTTCCAATGTTTATAACGCATTGCAGTGAATCACCTAGTCCATTGCATATTCCGATCAAATGACATCCAAGAGCATCAGTAGATCATCACCCTGACTGAAAAAAGTTTAAGCACACATTTTTTCCCAAGAGGGAATATCTTAAAAATGATCCAGGAAAAAATTTATTAACATTAAAGCAGTTTTTGGAAATTCTAAACACAAGGAGGATAAAGAGAACCCCAATTCTTCTTTAGAATGTACTCATTCTAGTTTTTCGAAATGAAATAAGTTTGAAGCACATTGTAACAAAATTAAAGGAAAGCTATACCATTTGAGCATAAAATTTGTAGACTATTCTAATCCTTCCAGACTATTACAATTTACAAGGGGAAGAGTAGGATAATATACCCATGGTCCTTTAGTAAAATTAAAAGATAGTATAAACTCCTTACGTGACAAAGTACACGTATAATTTTCTGAACAAGAAACAGGAGGAAATTTCATTCATAATTCTTAGATCCCTATTTAACTTAAGAGTTTTATGTGGGAAGCAATAAGAATAGAACTTGGAGCATCAAAAGTCATTTATTTATCTTTAATTATCCTACAGAAGCCAATTAAACTTAAAAAAAATATATAGGTAAATGGACCAAATAGCCCACTGTTACGCTGTTTGCTCTAGAAGAAAAGCTGTTACCTGTATGTGAGCAAAAGGCTTGGCCTGGTACGAACTCTGGACAATCAATCAGTTGAGAGAAGTCCGTCTGTGGCACATTACGTGGAGGAGGGCCTGGAATTGGCCATTTTTCTGGTTCTATCTTTTTTCTCATTTTCTCATCCACTATTTCTACTTCTGTGCTATCTTTCAGTGCCTATTAAAAGGAATTTTCACAATAAATTTTCATTGCACATCCTATACTTCTAAAATCCTAAAAATTAGAAAACCTGAAATACTATACTCTATTACAGCTAGTGATTCTAATAATTCCCATGAATTAACTGCTTACAGAAAATTTTAAAATAAATTTTTACTGGGCCTGGTGCTGTGGTATAGCAGGCGTAGTAGCAGCACAAGCATCCCTTACAGGCCACTGCTGGTGTCCTGGCTGCTCCTATTCCCATCTAGCTCTCTGCTTACAACCTGTGAATCAGTGGAGGATGACTCAAGTGCTTGAGACCCTGCACCCATGTCAGAGACCCAGAGCAAACTCCTGGTTTCAGATTGGCCTAGCTCCGGCCATTGCAGCCATTTTGCGGGTAAACCAGGAGATGGAAGACCTTGCTCTGTCTTTCCCTCTGTCTGTAACTTTACCTCTCAAAGAAACAAAATCTGTGGGGGAAAAAAAAAAGTTGTTCCTTTAAGCAGGAGTGGGGAACTTTTTCCTTCAAGGGCCATTGGATATTTATAATCATTCACAGGTCAAACAAAATTATCGATGTAAAAATTAGCCTGCAGTAGATTTATTTAGAGTTTCAAGTCCCACCTGCAGTTGCCTTGGCAGGGCCAGACCAAATTATCTTGCAGGTTTTATATGGCCTGAAGGGTGGACATTCCCTACCCCTGCAAAGTAATAAATATCTTGATTTATCACTTATTTAACTGACAGCACATGTTTTCACAACTGGAATAGTCATTCAAAGATTATTGCATCAACTAGAAGCAAAAGGCTTGTTATCAATTAAGTTTTACTGTTAATTTTTTTTCATATTTCATCTCTATTTTCCTTTCTCTTCCCTTAAAAATATAAGTAAAATGTACACATTGTATTTTACACAGTAACACATGCACACAAAATTCCTCACAATTCCCCCCCAAAAGTAGGTGTTATTCCTAATTATGGATGAGGAAACTGAAGCTCAAAGAAGCTTAATAAAAGACCAGACATAGTGTGATGCAACACTAGGAATAAAACCATTCATTATCTGTCCACAACAGTTTTAGCCATTAGGCTATGGTGTTTCCCCCACCCCACCAAAAAAAAAAAAATTAGTGTTCCAGTATAAGGACAAAAATCAAACAAGATCAAAATTTCCTCAAAATATTTTAGTTTGTGAACACATGTGTAATCACAAATGCCTTTAATGAGGGTCCTTCAAAAAGTTCATGAAAAATGGAAGCAAAGCTCATTTCAGTGGAGAATACTTTTGAAATCCATGCCTACGAGGGATTTTCAAAATGTTGAGAGAAAATGTGTATTATGGAACAAATATGCATGAATTTCAACTAACAAACTTGGTGTGGGGGTGGCAGCAGAGAGGCATCAGAAACAAGAAAGCCCCAAACAAATACTGGCAAGAGCCTTGCACTGGGCCAAACCTGGGAGCCAACAACTCAATCCAAGTGTCCCATGTGGTGGCAACAACCGAGTTACTTACTTGAGCCTTCAGAGGGGCTTCCCAGGGGCTGTATTACCAGGAAGATGGAACTAGAAGCTAGAGCCAGGGACTGAACCCAAGGTACTCTGATGTAGAACTCAAGTTTGTTTTTCTTTTTTACTTATTTATTTTTATTTGAAAGGCAGAAATCTTCCACCAGCTGGTTCACATCCTAAATGACTGAAACAGCCAGGACTGGTTAGTCTGAAGCCAGGAGCATCTTCAGGGTCTCCCACATGGATGGTGGGTGCCCAAGTACTTGGGTCATCTTTCACTGCTCTTCCAAGCACATTAGCACAGAACTGCATTGGAAGCAGAGCAGCTGGGACATGAACCAGTGCTCATCTGGGAGGCCAGCATTGCAGGTAGCAACTTTACCTGTTGTGCCACAACACTTGCCCCAACTTGAATGTCTGAACTGGCATCTTAACCATTAGACCAATAAATGTCCTGAAACTATTTTAATTACATTTTTCCATAAGCATTTAGAAACTCCCTCATAATAGAACAGTACTTAATTAACAGGTTAATTTTTCATAGCTGTGCATAACTTTAAAATTAGGATTAAAAGCTTTTCTAAAAAATGTGTATTTTTATTTATTTATTTAAGATTTATTTATTTGAAAGGCAGAATTGGAGAGTCACAGATGGGATCTTCCATCCGCTGGTTCACTCCTCAAATGGCCCAAGTGTTTGGGCCTCCACACCGAAACGGGATACCTGGAAGAAGCTCCTGGCTATGGCCTGGCCCAATCCCTGGCCACCACGAACATTTGAGGAGCAAAACAACTGTTGGAAGACCTCTCTCCCTCTAATTCTGACTTCCAAATAAAGAAATATTTGTGTGTGTGTGTGTTTGACAGGCAGAGTTATACAGTGCGAGAGACAGACAGAGAGAAAGGTCTTCCTTCCGTTGGTTCACCCCCAAATGGCCACCATGGCCAGCGCGCTGCGCTGATCTGAACCCAGGAGCCAGGTGCCCCCTCCTGGTCTCCCATATGGGTGCAGGGCCCAAGCACTTGGGCCATCCTCCACTGCCTTCCCGGGCCACAGCAGAGAGCTAGACTGGAAGAGGAGCAACCGGGACAGAATTCGGTGCCCCAACCAGGACTAGAACCCGGGGTGCCAGCACCACAAGCAGAGAATTAGCCCAGTGAGCCACGGCGCTGGCCCCAAATAAATAACTCTTAAAAAAAAAAAAAGCATAATGCATAAGTGTGTTCAAAAAAAACATGCTATTCAAAGAAACCTGTCAATAAAATGGAAAAAAATAAAACTGAGGGGGGTTGTGATTTATACATGATGAGCTCATATCCAAACAAAAACCTATTTTTCAAAAAAGCACTTCAGGCCGGTGATGCGGCTCACTAGGCTAATCGTCTGCCTACGGCGCCAGCACTCCGGGTTCTAGTCCCAGTTCGGGCGCCAGATTCTGTCTCAGTTGCTCCTCTTCCAGTCCAGCTCTGCTGTGTCCCGGGAAGGCCTTGGGCCCTGCACTCATGGGAGACCAGGAGAAGCACCTGGTTCCTGGCTTTGGATCGGCACAGCGCCGGCCGTAGCGGCCATTTGGGGGGTGAACCAACAGAAGGAAGACCTTTCTCTGTCTCTCTCACTAACTCTGCCTGTCAAAAAAAAAGAAAAAAAAAGGCACTTCAATAAAAATAAACAAAGGATTTAAACATGGTGGCACTGTGGCGCAGTGGGTTAAGTTACTACTTAGAAGGGCCGGCACTGTGGCACAGTGGGTTAACACCCTGGCCTGAAGTGCCGGCATCCCATATGGGTGCCGGTTCGAGACCCGGCTGCTCCACTTCCTGTCCAGCTCTCTGCTCTGGCCTGGGAAAGCAGTGGAAGATGGCCCAAGTCCTTGGGCCCCTACAGATCTGAAGAAGCTCCTGGCTCCTGGCTTCGGATCAACACAGCTCCGGCTATTGCAGCCATCTGGGGAGTGAACAATCTGATAGAAGACCTCTCTCTCTCTCTCTCTGTGTAACTCTTGACTTAATTTAAAAAAAAAAAAAAAAAAAGAATGTTTGAGATCTGTGTGTGTTTCCAATCCAGCTTTCTGACAATCCACCTGAGAGGCAACAGATAAAAGCCCACAAATACTTGGTTTTTGCCACCCACGTGGGAGACATGGACTGAGTTCCTGGCTACTGGTTTTGGCCTGGCCTCCATAACCCCAGCAACTGTGGGCAAGCAGATGGAAGATCTCACTCTTGGGGCTAGCATTCTGGCACATCAAGTGAAGCCACAGCTTGCAATACCAGCATTCCATATGGGTGCCGTCCCAGTCACTCCATTTCCAATCCAGTTTCCTGGTTAATGTTCCTAAGAAAGTACTGGAGGATGGCCCAAGTCCTTGGACTTTTGCACCCCAGAGAGAGACCCAAAAAGAGTTCTAGGCCCTCGGCTTCAGCCTGGCCCAGCCTCAGCTGTTACAGCCACTTGGGGGAGCGAACAGTAGATGGAAAATATCTGTCTCTAACTCTTTCAAAATAAAATAAATAAAAATCTAAGAAAAACAGATCTCTTTCCCTATCTTTCTCTCTCTCTCTCAGTCCCAGTCTTTCAAATAAATACAGTGAAGCAAATACTTTAACAAATAAGGTACACCAATGACAAGTATATGGAAAGATGCTCAAATGCATTAGTCTTTAGGGAAATGCAAATAAAACATGACAAACACACATTTATTATTTGAAAAACTGACACTGTCAACTGCTGATCAGGCTATAGAGCTCAGGTCAGAATGCAAAATGTTGGGGCCGGTGCTGTGGCATAGTGGGTAAACCTGCTCCTACAGTGCCTGCATCCCAATTGGGCGCCGGTTCGAGACCCAGCTGCTCCACTTCGAGACCCAGCTGTTCCACTTCCTATCCAGCTCTCTGCTATGGCCTGGGGAAGCAGCAGAAGATGCCCAAATCCCTGGGCCCCTGCACCCACATGGGAAGACCCAGAAGAGGCTCCTGGCTCCTGGCTTTGGATCAGCACAGCTCTGTCCATTGAGGCCAGTTGGGGAGTGAACCAGTAGATGGAAGACCTCTCTCCCTCTCTCTCTCTCTCTCTGTGTAACTATTTCAAATATACAAAATCTTTAAAAAAAAAAAAAAAACAAACAAACAAACAAAAAAAAAAACCTAGTTTATCTTTTCAAGTGCTTTTATGTTCACAGGAAAATTGAGTGAAAAGTTCTTTTTAAATGAGTACCTCTAAGATGAGATTAAGGTTTGTGGTGAGAGCCTGAACTCTATGAAAACCAGCAATCAGGGAAATAGGCAAGAAACCTTGTTCATCCATCTTTCGCCGAAGAAAAAAGTCCCGTTCTAGATTTTCTATACTGAAGTAATACTCACTGAAAAGAGAAATAAGAAACTAAACTTTAGTGTCATGTATTTACAACAGGAACTAAAAGTATCTGTCATTCCTGCATTACAACTACTAACATTACAACAGAACATGGTCTAATACAACAAAGATAGTACAAATAACACTAAAAATTATATTCAATTAAGAATTCTTACACAAGGTAGAAACTTTAAGTATTGATTATTTAAGAAAAACATTAACTTCCATTTCTATCAGCTTCTAACTTCAGTACATAGAACTAAGCAGCTCCTTTTACTTTAAAATACTGCAAAAAAAGTCATTTAAAACTCCTATTAAAAATTGTCACTAAAGCTACTTACTACTTGCTTCATCTAAATACTAAATAACAAGCTGAGTGCAAGCCAACACATTGTCTTCCATCTTTTTTGCACCACTGAGAATTGTATACTATAGGAACAATCTGTCAAAATCACCTGTAGTATAATTTGTTTTGTTTTCTAAATTGACAAAGGATTGATATTGTTTAAATACTTCTAAACCCTAGCAATCAGTACAATTATATATTTAAATAATTCAACTTCTCTCCCTTTTTTGATGAGCAGAACTATAAGACATTAAAAGTAAAAAGAATATAGCTAATCATATCAGTAGCACCATCAAACATGTGGAGAAAAATACAAAAAAGGCTTAAATATGTAAGTTGTCTTATCACGCACAGAATCACTAATCATTTCCTAAGGAATGTGGAAACAGACTGTCAGTATGATCAAGAACTACAAATTCCAAGATGCTAAGGTAGTATTCAGATTACATTTAATAACAGTCTTGAGAAACACAAAATAAAATTACATCTTCCATATAGAATAATGAAAACAGGATTATAACAAAATACAACAAGACAGTAAGTAGGGGGAAATGTAAAACAAACAAGCAAAAAGATACCAAGAATGATATGGCCTATGGTTTAAAAATCCTATACTGTTTCCAAATCACAAAGTTTTCAAAGAGGGATAGGACAAGTTATGAAAAAGCACACTAAGATCCTATTTTGGGTGTAAAATTCAATGACTAAAGATGCCCTATAATTATTTTGGCCAAATATTAACTTTGAAAAGTAAGCACCTATGACTGAAAACTAGATTTGAACAGTATTTAACTGGAGGGAAATAAAAACACCACATAAATATCCAAACTTTTCTTTTTGACTGATATTTATCAAAGTATAAAACTCTCTTAAAAGATTAGTAAAATCTACTGGCAACTCAGTAACACTAGTAATTCATTTTGTCTTCTTAATCACTGAAGGAAAAAAACGTCTAGAAGAAATTCTGAATATTGTTCCACTCTAAAGCCCTATTCATAGTTTTTGGTAACTTCCAACATTTAGATATGTGAGGTAGTCACAACTGTTCTTAGATACAAACCTACTTAAATAAATGAGCTGCCTTTTAAATGTAGTACTTTGTAAAATCAGAACATCTGAAGAAATTTATAAATCACCCTATTACCAATAATATGTATTTTTAAAACTTCTAACAGTTTGAAAACATATTAATCTCTATATCTAAATGCCAAGAGAGTATCCCATCTAGAAACAATCAAGATCTTAAAATTTTTAACGACTTGACATCAAAAATAGCGAATTAATAATACAAAATTTGGGGGCCAGCGCTGTGGTGTAACAGGTAAAGCCCTCACCGGTAGTGCTGCCATCCCATGTGGGTACCAGTTTGAGTTGTGGCTGTTCCACTTCTGATCCAGCTCCCTGTTAATATGCCTGGGAAAGCAACAGAAGATGGCCCAAGTTCTTGGGCCCCTGCACCACGTAGGAGACCTGGAAGAAGCTCCTGGCTCCTGGCTTTGGATCATCCCAGCTCTGGCCATTGCAGCCATTTAAGGGATGAACTAGTGGATAGAAGATCTCTCTGCCTCTGCCTTTCAAATAAATAAATAAATCTCTAAAAATATATGCATATATAAAATTTTACTTAGTTAAAAAACTCATCTGTTCAGAAGAGTTAAGCCTTTTACTTTAAAATACACTGCAGGGAGAGGGGCAGGTGCTGTGGAACAGGGGGTGAAGCACCCCCTGGGCCTCCTACATCCCATGTCAGAGTAGCAGTCAAGTCTTGCTCTCAACTTCCAATCCAGCTTCCTGCAAATGTATGGGAGGTCGCAGATGGCCCAAGTACATGGGTTCCTGTCACACACATGGGAGAAATGTATGTAGTTGTAGGCATTTGAGGAATGAACCACCAGATGAAAGATCTCTCTGTGTCTTTCACTCTGACATTATTTCAAATAAATATGTATAACTTTAAAAACCAATAAATCAACTGAGTCCCACATCAAATACCTGGGTTGAATACCTGAATTCTAGCTCCTGACTCCATCTTTCTACTACTATAGACCCTGGGAGGCAGCAATGATGGCTCAGGTGATCAGGTTCCTGACACCCACATAGGACATGTTGACTGTGCTCCCTGCTCCTGCCCTGGCCACTGTGGGAATGTGGTAGAAGTATTCCTGTGGATGGGAACTCTGACTCGGTATCTCAAGTAATTTTTAAAAAATAGAAAACACATTTAGCATAATTTTTCCAAAAATGTAAAGAAAAAAAATTTTAGTTAATTTATTTGAAAGGCGAGAGTTCCAGAGAAAGAGGGATAGACAGATATTCCATCTGGTGGTTTACTCCCCAGATGGCTGCAATGGCCAGGGTTGATTAAGGCAAAAGTCAGAAGCCAGGAGCTTCTTCAGTCTCCCGTGTGAGTGGAAGTGGTCCAAGCATGTGGGTCATCTTTTGCTGCTTTTTCCAGGCCATCATCAGGGAGCTGGATCTCAAGTGGAGTAGCCAGGACACAAACCAGTGCCCATATGGGATGCCAATGTTGCAGGCGGCAGCTTACCCACTATACCACAATGCCAGCCCTGTAAGGAAACTGTTTAAGGTGACTTACCAAAAATGAAAATCTAGGGCTAGGCGCTATGGCACAGTGGGTAAAGCTGCCACCTGCAGTGCCGGCAATCCCATACGGTTTCTGGTTCAAGTCCCAACTGTTCTACTTCCAATCCAGCTCCCTGCTAATGTGACTGGGAAAGCAGTAGAGGATGGTCCAAGTACTTGAGCCCCTGCACCCACCTGGGAGATCCAGAGGAAGCTCCAGGCTCTTGGCTTCAGAATGGCTCAGCTCCAGCCATTTCGACCATTTGGGGAGTGAACCAATAGATGTAAGACTTTTCTCTCTCTCTCTTTCTCTCTTCCTCCCTCCCTCTCTCTCTGTAACTCTGATTTCAAATAAATAAATCTTTTTAAAAAATGAAAATCTAAATCTCAATCAGCCTATCTATATATTTTATTAGAAATCCCAGTGACACAACATCACAAACATGACTCCTCAGAGCCAGATCTCCACTATTTGAAGAATGACACTAACAAATAACCCTAAACCTGGTGCTTCACTAACAATTGCCAAAAATCCTACAGCTGAAACAGTAACAGCAACAACAAAAAAGGAGTCATGACCAATGTCGTGTCTGATATTTTGCTCAGTGTCCTAGGGGACATTATCATGTCCTACCTTGGAAGCTCTGGATTCTACACTGCATGATCAGAAATTTTGTCAACACTGAAGTAGTACTGCTCCTCCCTCACTTGTATGAGCACATTGGCGGCCGATTATCCTGACAAGGAGTTGCATGTCCACTATCAGGTCTCAGAAGGGACCTGGCAGCAAGAATTACAAAAAGACAGGAATAGTGGTATGAAGTTGGCAGCCACATGCCAGGCACTCTCTGCCCATAAAAAGGCCCTTTTCTTCAGTGTTTGCATCCACTGTAACAGAAGAAGCAAGAACAATATAAACAAGTTGCTCTGCATTCAAATCCACCATGAAGGCGTCCCAGGAAGGTACCTGGTTGATGCTGATGAAGAAATTATGTTTTAGTAAGAGTCCATTTTCCTTTATAATAAAAATAGATGTTTTTAAAATGGTAATGCCTTTTCAAAAAGTCCTTTTCCTTCAGTTATTTATAAGGATAGGAAAAAAAATGCAAGTTTTAGCAAGGTGGTTATTCAAAATACTTGGGAAACTTTTTCTTGACACTATTCAAATTACATAGAAAACCACCCTATACAGTACTAACATGCAGAGGTTTATTTTTCTTAAGGACACCAAAACAAATATTCTCTTGATTTCAAATTCAGTACTCAGAAAGCAACTATTTTGAGATATCACATAAATCTGAACTGACTACTCATCCCAATAATGTCTCATAAAAAAGGTTACACTTAGAATTCAAGTCAAGAAGAAAGTCAAGACATCTGCCATAACTTTGTCACCTATGTTCATTTGCAAATTTTAAAGTACATAACTATTTGCAAATAATGAGCCAAGTTTCACTTCAACTTCCAATACATATTAAAGCTATATATATGAAATGATATGTTAAATAATATCCTTTAGGCAGAGAAAATACCTAACAGGTATAGAAAGCAGGAAACTTATATAAATTCATAAACTATATACAAGTTTCTTAAAAAATACTTTACCTATTTTACTACTATTGCAAGGAAAAATACAACCAAATAGTACATCCTTCAATTTTAGTAGTAAATATCAGAAATGACATTAGACTACCGATGACAGTAACATTTGACAATGCAGTGAATTTTACTGTACCATCTGCTTAACATCTGATATCAACTTACATTTGACGCTTAATATACTCTTTAAGCAATGCTTCTTCCACAGGATACACCTGTACGCCTGTACCATCATCATAGTAATACATCATACTGGTATTAAGATCTGTCTGAAATGGTTGATCAGTCCGTTCACCATGTTCTCGATAACCATACGAATAATCAAAGTTCACTTGATATGAATAAAGAAATAAAAAAACACAGATTAAAGTTATTATCAAGAAAAACCCAAGTGAAATACTTCAAAGAACAACAAACATAAAACAATCTTTACTAATCAAGTAATTTAGTTAAAACATAATATAGGACAGTGGTAAACTAACAGAAGACCTGCTCACTTTTTTCAAAGTTTATCTAATTTAGCAAAACAAAAAATCATGTCATACATCGAGGATTTCCTCTGCCTCGTCCTCTTCCCCGTCCTCGGCCTCTTCCTCGGCCTCTAAAGGAACCTCGGATATTACCACCCTCACTTCTCACACTGGACACTTCATCTTGGTCTTCTCTTTTTTCTCTATCTCGCCTCCAACCTTTTAAAAATAAAGATATTTTTATGCATGGTAGTTTACAATAAAATTACATAATTATCTTTATAAAAACACATAACCACCCTCCCCTGTTTTATAATTAGTTGACAGTAACCAGGCATAGACACAACTTAGCAAATCCAACAGGAATCTGTCAGGAACATTTCTGGCATAAATGAGGGCACCAAAAAATACTAGCAAAGAAAGACATCCTAATAAGCAAAATAACACCCTGAAAAGATAAAGAGGTCATCTACTAAATAAGACTGCCTTGTTAAAGATTCAAGAAGTTCCCAAACTACTGAGTTTGCAGTAATAAAGAATTCCTGAAAAATATTCAGAGTGTTTACAAAAAAGATGCCTCTAAATAAAAGACATTCCTTTTAAAGAGGAAATGAAAACACAAAACAACTTGGGAGAAGATACCTAAAGCACAACATAGGAATTATATCTAGAATATGAGGACTTCAAAAAAAATCTGTGGAAATTTTGAAGCAAATTTTGAAATCCATGCACAGTATTTTATAATATCCATTATTTTGTGAACTTTCTGAAGCCCCTGAAATACCTGATTTCAACTTTTTTTTAACAAAATAAACTTATCTTTTAAATATTCCGTTTTTAAACTTTTTGAAGTCCCCTCCCCACACATATAAGAAGTATCTTTGTTTCACTCAAGTGCACATACACACACAACCATTCAATGTAAAAAACAATGAGAAATAGGGCAAAGAAATGCAAATGGGCAATAGAGTGGTGCTCATATTGGCCCTAAGAAATGAAAAAAAGTCGTTCATCTTTCCCACTCTGACAAACATTTTAAGATCCTGTAATATTAAATATTGACAAAGACAGAAAAGATAACATTTATATAATGATAGGAAACTAAAAGGAGTCAGCTTTGGATATCAATTTGGAAAAATCTAATAAATGCGAATAAATGCAAATTCTACAGATAAGAGTTTCCCAGTCTTAGCACTTTAGATCCTGGTATGTGGAGCTATTCTGTGCAAGCTAAGATGTCTCTCATTCATCCTCAATCTCTACCCACTAGATGTCAGTATCACCCATTTATGATCCCAACTGTGTCAAATAGTAATAGCTTTAAGCAAAGTTAAGCATCTCCTGGGGAGAGGGAAGAACTCCCACTGAGAATCACTGGCCTACACCTTGCTCTACCATACCCAATACTTATCTTAAAAGTCTTTTTCAAATATTTCTGCCTCAACCTAGAATAAACCATATTTAATTTCACATCCCAGTTTATTTTTTAAAACATGATCATGACCCAATATACTGATTTCATAACCTACTCACAGGTTGCAGTCTGCAAAAAATTACCCGAGAGCCTCTTACACTTTTTTTTTTCTTTTTTTTACAGGCAGAGTGGACAGTGACAGAGAGAAACAGAGAGAAAGGTCTTCCTTTTTCAGTTGGTTCACCCTCCAATGGCCGGCGCGCTGCGGCCAGCGCACCGCGCTGATCCGAAGGCAGGAGCCCGGTGCTTCTCCTGGTCTCCCATGGGGTACAGGGCCCAAGCACTTGGGCCATCCTCCACTGCACTCCCTGGCCACAGCAGAGAGCTGGCCTGGAAGAGGGGCAACCGGGACAGAATCCGGCGCCCCAACCGGAACTAGAACCCGGTGTGCTGGCGCCGCAAGGCGGAGGATTAGCCTAGTGAGCCGCGGCGCCGGCGCCTCTTACACTTCTATACTAGAAAACATACATTAAAAGGTTCATGGTAGTAATTTAATATCAAAAAACAAAAACAATCCAAAGACAGATTTTATCAAATAGTGAAATATCATTTAATGTGGGGAGAAAAAAGAATGACTTAGAGTCATAAAAATAACATGCATGACAATTAGACAAAGTGAAAAAAATTACTTCCAAAGAATGTCAGTGGAGTCACACTGCAAGGCAATTTCAAATATGCAAAAAACTTTAACATTCAAGTTCAATTTTTCTAATTAGACAATGGATGAAATTATGGAGGGCATATACATTTTAAGGTAAGGTAGCATGTATCTTTTTTCCCCAAAGTTTTATTTGTTGGAAAAGAAGACTGGACAGAGAGATTCCATCTGCTATTCATTTCCCAGGGCCATGCCATGAGGTCTCCCTCACTGGCAGCAGGAAATCAAGTTCTTTGGCCACCTGTTGCCTCCCAGGTGCATTAGAAAGGAAGCTGGATCTGAAGTAGAGGCAGAATTCAATCCCAAGCATTTACAATATGGGATGCGGGCAACCCCAAGTGATGGCTTAACCTGATGCACCGCACCTTCCACCCAAGTAAGGTGCATTTCCTAAACAGGGTGTTGAGTTTCACCATATTGTCCCAACCAGCAGGTTAACTACTGAGCTAAATGCATGCCCCTGGAAATTTTAAAATGGCAATATTATATCTGAAAATTTCTCTTAGGCTTTTGTTTTTTTATTTTACAAGTTTTACAAGGTTTTTTTTTTTTTTTTTTTTTTTTTAACCTATTTATTTGTTTTATTTGAAAGGTAGAATTACAGAGAGACAGAGAGAGGTCATCCACCTGCTGGTTCACTTCCCAGATGGCCGAAATGGCCGGAATTGGACTGATACAAAACTAGGAGCCAGGAGCTTCTTCAGGGTCTCCTACATGGGTGGAGGAGCCCAAGGACTTGAGTCATCTTCAACTACTTTCCCAGACCATTAGCAGAGATGTGGATCAGAAGTGGAGCAGCCAGGACTCGAACGGGCACCATTTGGGATGCCGCCACTGCAGGAAGAGGCTTTACCCACTATGCCACAGCACCGGTCCCTCTTTTATGCTTCCTTAACCACTTAAAGAACAACATATGATTTATCAGACTTAAAATCCAATCTAAGGGGCTGGCACTGTGGCATACTGCATTAAGCTGCCACCTGCAACACTGACATCATATATGGGCACTAGTTCAAGTCCCAGCTCCCTACTAATGAGCCTAGAAAAGCAGCTGAAGCTGACCGAAGTATTTGGGCCCCTGCACCCATGGGAAACAAGATAAATCAGACTCCTGGTTTTGGCCTGGCCCAGCCCTGGCCACGGAGGCCATTTGGGGAGTGACCCAGCAGATGGAAAGATCTGTCTCTCCTGCCTTTCAAATAAATAATTTTTTTAAATTATTTAAATTTAAATTATTTATCCAGTTTTCCTCTGCTTTCTGAAAACTGAACAAACCCTGTTGAAATAATGTATCTGGGGAAGGACTTTTAATGACAGTAATACTGATAGGATAGTTTACATTGGAAAGGCTAGGCTAACACTGAGACTAAATTTCAAAATGCCTGAAAATGACACACATTTTATTCCTCCTGCTGTGATACATCAAGAAATAAACACATCATGAAGTATTCCTACTTTCCTGCTCACACAAAAGAACCTAATCCTAACCAACCCTCTAATTCTTAATATCAGCTATATTGAGAAAGGAAAAAAAATAAAGATTATAAGCTAAAGAATACTCTGATAAAGCAATCAGCCAAACAGAAAATGTGAGAAATTCCACAAGACATGACCTACCAAACAGCAAAGAAAGTAACACTGTTGAGAATGTAAAACAGAACAGGTAATTTGGCAGTTTCTTATAGTATTATATATACAGTTACCATATGACCTATCAATCCATTCTAAGGGATCTACTTAACAAAGAACCATATGTATATCATAACAGCTTATACAAATGCACATAGCAGCAATACTCACAATGGCAAAAAAGTGAAACATTTTATTCATCAACAGATGAATGGATTAAGGGGTACATACAACTAACTGAATACCATTCAGCAATAAAGAGGAAGAAACTGATACATAACAATATAGATAAATCTGACAAACATTAACGCTGAGCAAAAGGAGCCACAAAAGGACAAAATACTCTTATATTGAATAGTTCTATTTATATGAAATTCTAGAAAAGGCAATGTAATCTACAATGAATAAAAAGGTTAGAGTTGGTGATAATGATAGGAATATTTGTAAATATAACTTATATTTCAGTAAAGTTGCTTTTCTAAAATGGTCCCAGAAACCACTCAGAAGAGGCTCCCATTAGCCAATATAGGGTAGTCGGAGCATGAGATTGAAATTATAGTAAAAGATTAGGATCCAAACAATCATAGTAAAAGATTATGACCCGCTGAATAAATAAGCCATAAGTTCACAATAACAATGGAACATTGTTCCTTATAGAATGCCAAGTACAAAACATAGAAATGATACAGTATGAAAAATCTGCATGTATAACTATCACAGTCATGACTGAATTTGTCAAGAATTACTGATGTAATCTAAAGCTTTTATGAAAAGTTTTATGAGAAAATGATTATTTTTCAAGATCCCAAAGCCTCTCCCAATAAATTACAACTCAAGTGATTAAAGTTAATATCATGCATAACAGGACAAACCAAGATAATATGCATTTCCATAAGGTACAAAGAAAAAACTATGTTCTTTATAGTATCTGTCAATACTTTATAACTCAAATCCAATCATAAAGAAACACCAGAAAATTCAAAGGGATATCTGTGACTGTTTTATAGTCTTAAAAAAATGAACAGTATCAAAGAGAAAAATCTGTTACAGATTAATGAAGACTAAAGGGAAAAACAATTAAAATCAAAGGGTGATGACAGAATCTCAGGGGGGAAAACATACTTCTATATTTATATCTATATCCATATCTATCTACATATTAGTACATAGATAGATACAAAGGACATCAATGGGAAAATCTGGATAGTCATACTGTATTCATTTGAAGTTTCACTGTTGTTAACCTGCTACCATTACTACTGATGAAATATATTCTCAAGATTTATAGGGTGAAAAGAGTTGTGTTCACAAATTACTAAGCATTAAGACCAAGTCCTTTTTCTCTTAGAACATGACTTACTTCGTGTGTCATTTCTCCTATTGGCATGTGCTGATTTATTTGTTTCAGGTTGACATCTTGAACTATTCCGGGAACCAGGTCTTTCTTGACTGTCTGGTCTTACATCATCCAAGTGGAGAGGTACCCACTTGTGCTTATTAGCTTGAAAAATACAAAATGAAATAATTTATTGATAATACAGTTTTCACTAACGCCTTGCAAATTCTGAAACTACTTTAAATTGTTACTTATACTTCTGTCCAATTATGACAATCTATTCAAAATATTACATATATACTACTTCCATCTCATACTTGATGGACTTTAGAATGGGATATATCTGATAAGACAATTATAATATATGCAGCAGAAGGTCAGGCTTTTGATTCAAAACACTTTTAATTTCAGATCACTGTCTAAAATATTCAGTTATTCAGAATGAGATTCCTTAAAATGTAAGTGGGTAAGTATAAAATTTATCTAACAGATTTTTCACAGCTACTACATATGATAACTGTTATGATTATACCACAGAATTCTTAGAACTACCTATTCACAAATTCCAGTGAAGTTTCAAAGTGTTTATTATCCTGCCCAATCTATACTATTTACCAAATCAAAAAGACTCCTGAGCAAAGGAAAAACTACCATAGTAATCAAGCAAAGTTATAACAATTAAGGTAACAATACTGATTTCTTATAAATCTTGCAAAATGAGGATCAGATGAGAAAAAAATATAAGAGAAACTAAAAACTCTTTAAAGCCTATACTATATAAATTCTATCAGAGATTCACTGACATTTTTTAGTTAAAAAAAAAAGTGTTCTAAAGGATCAACTCATAACCTGGTTATATCAATCACTACATAAAATACCCAGCTATAAGCTGGCGCCGCTGTAGCTCAATAGGCTAATCCTCTGCCTGCGGTACCGGCACCCCGGGTTCCAGTCCCGGTTGGGGTGCCGGATTCTGTCCCGGTCACTCCTCTTCCAGGCCAGCCCTCTGCTGTGGCCCGGGAGGGCAGTGGAGGATGGCCCAAGTGCTTGGGCCCTGCACCCAAATGGGAGACCAAGAGAAGCACCTGGCTCCTGGCTTCGGATCAGCACAGTGCGCCAGCCGCGGCAGCCATTGGAGGGTAAACCAACGGAAAAAGGAAGACCTTTCTCTCTGTCTCTCTCTCACTGTCCACTCTGCCTGCCAAAAAAAAAAAAGAAATACCCAGCTATAGGGCTGACCAGTTTTAACTGATGAAGTTAAGATAAATTTCAGAGCATGATGGCAGATCTGTCATCTGTATGAATTCTAGACTACTTAACTAAGAAGCAGGAAAAGTGATAAAATGGTTAAGAAGCAGAGGAAATTCTTTTTCTAACAATCACTTAGCAATCCTGTTGCAACTACTTGAGCAATTACTCTTTGCCCATTGTATAACATGAACCTAATGCTCACCCTGCAGCTAGGGAACAGATACTTATTCTTTAAAAAAAAAAAAAAAAAAGATGTATTTATTTATTTATTTGAAAGACAGATTTACAAAGATGAGAGACCCAAGAGAGATTTTGCATTCCCTGGTTCACTCCCTAAATGGCGGCAACCACAGCCAGGCCAAAGCAAGGAGGTTCTTCCAGGCACTCCTACAAGGGTGCATGAGTGCAAGGACTTGGGACATCTGCTGCTGCTTTCCCAGGCCACTAGCAGGGAGCTTGGATAGGAAATGGAGCTGACAGGCCTCGAACTGGTGCCTTTTATGGGATGCTGACGCTGCAGACCATGGCTTAACCTGCTGTGCCACATGTTTTAATGGCTTTTCACACCACTCAAAATAAGATCCTAGTTCCACATAACTAAAGACGTATATACCGTGGACCTTGCCTATGTTTCCTACCCTATCTTGTGCCATTCTCTCAACACTCAGAACACTGAATGAATATGGTTTTTACAAAGCAAATAATAATCTTCTGTCCTTAGACATACAAAAACTTTAGAAAACTAGCATGGATGAAGACTTTTTTCTTTCAAACTATAATTTTTATGAGGGAATGCTAAAAGGGAAACAGCTGACCAAAATTACTCTCACTTTTCTCTTAAAACAATGAAGTATCTCATTTTCTCGGAACTCCCTAAAAAACAAGGAGCAGTTCCAATTCAGATTTAAAAGTATTTATCATACAACTTCGAGAATGTCAACCACATATATAAGTGGAACTTCATTCCATTTACCTGCATAGATTATGAGGGCTTAAAAAAGCATGTGGGGGCCGGCGCTGTGGTGCAGAGGGTTTAACACCCTGGCCTAAAGCACCGGCATCCCATATGGGCACCAGTTGGAGACCCAGCTGCTCCACTTTCTGTACAGCTCTCTGCTATGGCCTGGGAAAGCAGAAGATGGCCCAAATACTTGGGCCCCTGCACCCACGTGGGAGACTTGAAGAAGCTCCTGGCTCCTGGCTTCAGATCGGCGCAGCTCTGGCTGTTGCGGCCATCTGGCAAGTGAACCAGGGGATGGAAGACCTCTCTGTCTGTAACTCTTTCAAACAGATAAAATAAATCTTAAAAAAAAAAAAAAAAAAAAAAAAGGCATGTGGGAAAAATGGAATAAAAAGATAACGTAAGGGGCTGGCATGGTGGCACAGTGAGTTAAGCTATTGTCTGAGATGCCAGCATCCCATTAGTACAGGTTCAAGTCCTGGCTGCTGTACTTTTTTTTTTTTTTTTTTTTTAAGATTTATTTATTTATTTGAAAGGCAGAGTTACAGAGGCAGAGGCAGAGGCAGAAAGAGAGCTCTTCCATCTGCTGGTTCACTCCCCAAATGGCCACAATCACCGAAGCTGGGCCAACCTGAAGCCAGGAGCCTGGAGCTTTTTCTGGGTCTTCCATGCAGGCACAGGTGCTCAAGCACTTGAGCTATCTAATACTGCTTCCAAGGCCATGGCAAAGGGTTGGATCCTAAGTGGATCAGCCAGGTCTCAAACCAGCACCCATATGGGATGCTGGCACTGCAGGCAGCGCCATTACTCACTCTGCCACAGTGCCAGCCCTTCTCCTGTAGGAGACCTAAATGGAGACCTTGGCTTCTGGCTTCCATGTGGAAGACCAGGACACAGTAACTGGCTCCTAGCTTTGCCCTGGGCCAGCTCTGGCCATTGCAGCCATTTGGGGAGTGAACCAACAGATGGAAGATCTTTTTCTATCTCTCTTCTCTGTAACTCTGCCTTTCAAATACATCTTTTTTTAAAAAAAGGTAATGCAAAATTTCAGTGAAGTTATTGAACTCCCCTGCCTAAGTTAAATGCAAAAAAAGCTCATACTATAAAAACAAATCAATTACTATTGCATATGGTTTATCCTGAAGAAATACAAAATACATATTGATGACTATTAGTGAGCAATTCATTAATTACAATTCTTCCCTGCTATAACTTTTTTCAAAAACTTTCACACACATAACACAGATAACATAAGGATTAACTGACCTCTTTTTCGCTGATTACTTGATTGAGCCTCATCTTCACTGACGTTTTCACCAGGGCCATCTAATTTTATTTCCCGGTTTTCTTTACTCTCGTTGTTACTTTTCTTCTCAGTCTTCTCTTCTTTTTCCTTTCTATTCTGCAGCTTCTTATTCCCTTGACTGATGACACTATGACACTACAAACAAAGTTTTCTATATGAAATAATTTCCATTAACATTTTCTTAAGTATAACCAAAAATCTGTGGTAATACGTTTTACCTAAATATTGCCAAACAAATCACAATCTAAAATAAAAACTATTTTTCAAGACACTTAAAAGTCAAGCTCTAGACTTTGAGAAAACAGGCATTGAGTAGTTGATAAAGGATTTCGGTATAAAACATAAAATGAACTCTCAAAACTCCTTCTCCGAAGGAGAAAATATTTTTTAAAAAAATGGACCTGAGGGCCGGCACCGCGGCTCACTAGGCTAATCCTCCGCCTAGCGGCGCCGGCACACCGGGTTCTAGCCCCGGTTGGGGTGCCGGATTCTGTCCCGGTTGCCCCTCTTCCAGGCCAGCCCTCTGCTGTGGCCTGGGAGTGCAGTGGAGGATGGCCCAGGTGCTTGGGCCCTGCACCCCATGGGAGACCAGGAAAAGCACCTGGCTCCTGGCTCCTGCCATCGATCAGCGTGGTGCGCCGGCCGCAGCGCGCCGGCAGCGGCGGCCATTGGAGGGTGAACCAACGGCAAAGGAAGACCTTTCTCTCTGTCTCTCTCTCTCTCACTGTCCACTCTGCCTGTCCAAAAAAAAAAAAAAAAAGTGGACCTGAGTTGATGAGACTCTTCATCAATTATTGCTGGTGGACAAATATATATAAAAAGATAATCCACATTAGTCAGAGAAATAAAAATTAAAACCACAATTTCAAATTGCTGATCACTTACTAATGGCTAACTTTGGTTTAAAATGGACATAGTAAGAGTTGGTGAGGAACTGGACTCTTTTAACACTGTTGGGAGCAAAGTTTGGCAGTTTCTTAGAGCTGCCCATGGTCCAGCCATTCTACAACAGTTATTTAACCAAGAAAAATCAAAGTAGATATCATGTAAAAATATTTTAAAGATTTATTTATCTGAAAGAGTTATAGAGAGGAAGACACACAAAAAGAGGGGAGACAGGGAAAGAGTGAGAGAGGGTAAGAAGGAGAGAGATGTTCCATCCACTGGTTCACTCCCCAGATGGCTGCTGGGCCAGACCAAAGCCAGGAGTTAGAACCTCTGAGTCTCCCGTGTTAGGTGCAGGGGCCCAAACACTTGAGCCATGTTCTGTCATTTTCCTAGGAACATTAGCAGGGAGCTGGAATAGCTGGTACTCGAATTGACACCCATACGGAATGCCAGTTTTTCAGGTGGTGGCTTTACTTGATACACCACAGCACCGAGGCCCCAAGTAAAATTTTATGCACATATGTTTTTACAGCAGTTTCCTTTGTAATAGTAAAAAATTGGAATCAATCCAAATGTCCATCAACAATAGGCTACATCCATATACTAGAACACTACTTAGCAACAAAATGGACTGATAAAAACATGTCGAATCTCAATATAGTTATATTGATGATGAGACCACATTTACAAGGAAGGGGGAATTCAAAGATTTCATGGAAAAAACTATGCACAGATTTCAAATTTTTTTTGCACCTTTTTTTTTTTTAAAAGATTTCTTTATTTGAAAATCAGAGTTACACAGAGAGAGGAGAGGCAGAGAGAGTGAGAGGTCTTCCACCTGATGGTTCACTCTCCAGTTGGCTGCAATGGCTGGAGCTGTGCCGATCCAAAGCCAGGAGCCTCCTCCAGGTCTCCCATGTGGGTGCAAGGGCCCAAGGACTTGGGCCATCTTCTACTGCTTTCCCAGGCCATAGCAAAGAGCTGGATTGGAAGTGGAGCAGCCAGGACTAGAAGCGGCAGCCATATGGGATGCTGGCACTTCAAGCCAGGGCATTAACCTACTGCACCACAGTGCCAGCCCCTTTTTGCACCATTTTAAACTTAACAATTTTTAAAAAATATTTATTTACTTCTTTGAAAGTCAGTTACAGAGAGAGAGGAAAAGACAGATAGTCAACCTGCTGGTTCACTCTCCAGATGGCCACAATGGCCAGGGCTGGGCCAGGTGGAAATTAGGAGCCAGGAGCTTCCTCCAGGTCTCCCTCATGGGTGGCAAGGGCCCAAGCACTTGCGCCATCTTCCAGGGCTTTTCCCAGGCCATTAGCAGGTATCTCAAGTGGAGGCTTTACCTGCTATACCACAATGTCAGTCCCTAGAATTTGTATTTATTTGAAAGGCAAAGAGACAGAGATCTCCAATCCACTGGTATACTCCCCTAATGCCTGTAACAGCCAGAGTTGGACTAGGTCAAAGGTGGAAGCCAAGAATTCAGTCCGAGTCTCCTACATGCATGGCATGGACCCAAGGACTTGAGCCATCACCAGCTGCCCCCAAGGGTGTGCATTATCAAGGGCTGAAATTCAGAGCAGAGCAGGAACTAGAAATCAGTCACTACAATTTAGTGAGCTGGCCTTCTAGGCAGCATTTCTACCACTGCTTCAAATGCCCAACCCATAAACTTTTTCATGAACTTTTTAAAGTATCCTTGCATAAAAATGTGAATTAATTTAAAGAGACAGAAAGCACTTCAAAGGAATGTGAGAAAATTTCTGGGAGCAATGGTTAAGTTCATATTCTTGACTGCGGTGACAGCTTATACCACAAGTATATCCAGGTCAAATTTTAAACTTTTTGAATGGCTTTTATATCACAAACTGTTTAAATATATGAATAACTGCATACCAATATTACTACACAAATCACAAACAGTAACAAAGCAAAGCATGTTACCAGAAAATCATATAGACCACAATTCTTTTTTCTTTTTTTTTTAATTTGACAGGTAGAGTTACAGACAGTGAGAGACAGAGAAAGGTCTTCTTCCTCCCATTGGTTCACCCTCCAAATGACCGCCATGGCCAGAACTGCACTGATCAGAAGCCAGGAGCCAGGTGCTTCTCCTGGTCTCCCATTTAGGTGCAGGCCCCAAGCACTTGGGCCATCCTCCACTGCCCTCCCAGGCCACAGCAGAGAGCTGGACTGGAAGAGGAGCAACCGGGACCAGAACCGGAGCAGAGAGCTGGACTGGAAGAGGAGCAACCGGGACCAGAACCGGCGCCTACACGGGATGCTGGCACAGCAGGCGGAGGATTAACCAAGTGAGCCATGGCACCAGCCCCTAGACTACAGTTCTAAAATTAGGATATTTTAGAACCATCTTTCAAAGTTTCAATTAAAAAAATCCATTGCATATTTCTCAATATGATATGTATGTGCACATATACATATATACACGAGCACTTCAACATGCATTAAAAAAATAAAAGGGGCCGGGCTGTGGAGTAGAGGGTGAAGCCACAGCCTGCAGTGCCAGCATCCCATGTGGGCGTCGGATTAAGGCCCAGCTGCTCTGCTTCCAACCCAGCTCTCTGCTATGGCCTGGGAAAGCAGTACAGATGGCCCAAGTCCTTGGGCCCCTGCTCCTGCGTGGGAGACCAGAAGAAGCTCCTGGCTCTTGGCTTCGGATCAGCACAGTTCCAGCTGTTGTGGCCAACTGGAGAGTGAACCAGTGGATGGAAGACCTCTCTCTCTCTCTCTCTCTGCATAACTCTGACCTTCAAATAAATAAATAAATAAATCTTTAAAAAAAAAAAAAAAGAGAGAGAGACTATAAATTGCGGTGGGCATTTTCTAGAGGTTGATGCCTGTCTGAATCTCATTAGTGAGCCTGGATTCAATTCATGCCTCCAGCTCCCTGCCAGAGCCTAAAAGGCAGCAGGTGATGGCTCAAGTAATTGGGTCCCTGCCACCTACATGGGAGAAATGGATTACATTCCCAGCTGTGGGCTTCAGTCTTAAACACAGCCTTGCCCTGGCTGTTGAGCATTGGCAGCATGTTACCAGTAGATAGACTGTTTTCTCTGTCTCTTAAAAATAAAAAATAAAAAAAAAAAAAAGGAAATATATACATCAAAAGAAAACACACATACATAGCAAATTGTGAAACACAAAATGGGCTTCCACTAGACACACTGAAAATTTATCTCAGGGCCAGTGGTGTGGTATAGTGGGTTAAGCCACCAACTGCAGTGCCAGGATCCCTTATGGGCTCTGGTTCAAGTCCCAGCTGCTCAACTTCCAATCCAGCTCCCTAATGCACCTGGAAAAGCAGTAGAAGATGGCCCAAGTCCTTGGGCCCCTGGACCTACGTGCAAGACCCAGAAGAAGCTCCCAGCTCCTAGCTTCGGACCAGCCCAGTTCCAGCCGTTGCAGCCATTTGGGGGAATGAACCAGCAGATGGAAGATTGGTTTGACCCTCCCTCCCTCTAATTCTGTCTTTCAAATAAATAAATAAATCAGGAAGGAAGGAAGGAAGGAAGGAAGAGAGAGAGGGAGGAAGAGAAAAAAGCAGAAGGGAACAGAAGGGAAGGGAATGAGAAAGGAAGGAAGAGAAAGAAAGAAAACTAATCTCTTTGGACCAGTGCTGTGGGATAGCAGGTAATGACACAACCTGTAACACCAGCATCCCATATGGTTGCTGCTTAAAGTCCCAGCAGCTCCACTGCCCATCCAGTTCCCTGCTAACGTGTCTGGGAAAGCAGCAGAAGATGGCCTAAGTCCTTGGGTGGGCCCCTGTACCCACCAGGGAGACCTGGAAGAAGCTCCATGCTTCAGCCTGGCCCAGTCCTGGCTGTGGAGCCATTTGGGGAGTGAACCAGCAGACTGAAGATCTCTTCTCTTCTTTTCTTTCTTTCTCTCTCTCTCTAACTCTGTCTTTCAAATAAATAAATCTTTTAAAAACTGATCTCTTGATTTTCAGGCATTATAAAAAGATGATAGGGTCTCTCCATGCACCAACCTAAGAATACAACCTCCTGGGCCCATGCTTCACCATCAGTAGTGCTGGTATCCCATATGGGTGCTGGTTCAAGTCCTGGCTGGTCCACTTCTGATCCAGCTCCCTGTTAATGTGCTTAGGAAAAGCAGCAGCAGATGGCCCAAGTGCTTGGGCCCTTGCACCTGCACAGAGAGACCTAGATGAAGTTCCTAGTCCCTGGTTTCAACCTGGCCCAGCCCTGGCCATTGCAGCCATCTGGGAAGTGAACCAGCAGACGGAAGATCTCTCTGTGTCTCTGCCCCTCTCTCTGTAATACTGACTTTCAATAAATAAATAAATAAATCTTTAAAAAATATATGTACATGTAACCTCCCAGTAATACAACCAGATGAGGGAAATGTGATGAATGAAATTAAACATCTGAAAAGTGGGTAAAACTATAAAAAGGGTAGCTGCCAAGTTTTCAGTTTCTCCTTATCAGTGTATATAATTTTATAAAACGATTGTGTTTTAGTATAATTTATAATGTGTTCATTATCACAGGCAATGATAGATGACATTTTCCATGGCTAAAGCGTAAGACACCAGGTTCATTACTAACACTATTAGCAGAGTCAAAGAATGACTGAAAATTAAACTAACAAGAAAGTTATCTTATTGATGAAGTCTTTAAATATGTTCCTAGGGCAACAATTGTTTAGATTTTAAGTAAAATAAATTCATGTTGAGAGGCTATTTTTCATTTTTAAAAATAAATCTTAAAATAATACTCACTCCAGTGTTCACTAATTCACTTGGTGTTGGCCAGTTCGCCATATCGCTGAAATCACTAGGCTAAAAAGTAATGAATAAGTGTTATGTCTGCAAATTATTTTGGCAATTTTAAATAGAAAAAAATACTTTATAAAACTGCCTGCATCTTTAAAAATTACTTATAGCCAATTACATATTGCCAAACTGACCCAAAAGTTTCTCCAAACAGAAGACAACTTTGGTCTTATTATCCAACTTCAAGTATGTTTAATGATATTGACTAAATTGAGATAGATGATAATAGAATCATCTGGGAACTGGATAAAGGTTACAATTCTCTGAATATTAGCATTACACTAACATCAGTAAGACAATTAGAAAAATATATTTCTGATACTTGAAAAGTCCCTAATAACAACATTCACAACCAATACAGTTAAGAACTATTTCTTGCAAAGACATACCTTATTAGGTTTCTTTGTCTTGAGTTTTCCAGCTTTTATAGTTTTTGGGGAACTGAGCTCTGAAAAAAATAAACAGAATTATTTTTACTAATTCAATAAGTATATTTAACAAAGTATAAGTCAATGTAGTTATCACTCAACAAAATTCAAAGTTCTACAATTCACATTTAGCACACAGATCTAAACCAGTCTCCAATATCCAAATCAAGAAGAAATATTAACAGTTTACTTACACTGGACAGACCAATCCTTTCATTAACATTACAGCATATGAAAAATCAGAAGCATGTTTTAATAAAGTTGACTCAATTTCCAAAAAACTACATTTTTTAAGATTTATTTATTTATTTGAAAGGCTAAGTTACAGAGGAAAAGACAGAGATTGCTTCCATCTGCTGGTTCACTCCCCAGTGGCCCCAACAGCCAGGGCTGGGTGGGCCAAAGTCAGGAGCCTTTTCCAGGTCTCCCAAGTGGGTGCAGAGGCCCAAGGACTCATGCCACCTTTCCACTGCTTTCCCAGGCTCATTTGGCAGGGAGCTGGCTTGGAAGTGAACAGTAGGCTGTGGCTTAACCCACTACAGCACAACACTGGCCCCAGAATACATTTTTATACACAATTAATACAATCATCAAAAACCATCTGGAAAATAGGTCAGAGGACTTTAAACTATCTGTCCCAGGAAACAAACAGGTTTGGCAACCCTAACAGTGTACCTAGACGCAAACCATAAAAAAGACAGTAACTGCTCCTGTAAAAGTTTGTCTAAGACCTTCACTGTATCACTACTTGTCTTTACCTTGAGTCAGAACATAATGGTTGACAATAAAAATCAATACACTGTCCCCAATGAAGAATACTTTATACTGTCTTTTAGTTTTGTTCATTAGCTAGCAAAGTTACTAGATGGCATGATCATCTCACTAAACATGGCCTAAAGTAAACATTAAAAAACGCAAACAAACTTGGAATCTGTTTTTATAGCTAACACAATAATCCAGCAAAACATGAATCCATGGGCCGTGGCAATGATCAATTTATAGAATAGAGCCATCTTTGAATTAAAATCCAGACACAGATTTAAGTAAGATGTAGAGTACATATCAAAGAAAAAGGGGCCAGTGTTGCAGCATAATGGGTTAAGCCCCTGCCTGAGATGCTGGTATCTCATACTGGTATCCCAGCTGCTCCACTTCATAATGTGGGCACATATGTATAATGCTTACACAACTGTTGGATCTAATTCTAGACAATGTTTAGACAAATACTGTTCTCTATTAGTAATTTAGGTCTTTTCCTTGCTCACAGGCTTCTTGTTTTCTCCTCTGTACCTATATGTTTTCCTACTGCAACTACTTTTTCTTAATGAAATACTCTTCTCATATGCACATATATACATCTTAAAATACAAAAAAAATCCAATACCTAAAGTATAAATACGAATACAACTTTAACGAACTGCAAAGTATCAGCATGGTGCTATAGCCCGTGTATAAAGCCATCACCTGCAAAGCTGGCATTCCATATGGGTTCCAGTTTCTGTCCCTGCTGCTCCACTTCTGTTCCAGCTCCCTGCTAATATGCCTGGGAAAACCTGCAGAAAATGGTCCAAGAGCTTGGGTCCCTGCCACCCACATGGGAGGCCCAGATAAAGCTCCTGGCCATTGTGACCAACTGGGGAGTGAACCACCTTAAGGAAAATCTGCGTGTATGTGTGTGCTACTGTTTCAAATACAACAATTTAAAAAAAAAAAAGACAGACCTAAAAACAAATTTAAGGTACCAGTGCCTCCAAATATATATAAAATACACATGCTGTGTTACCCACATGTGTCTACCTTTTAAAAACCATTGGATGAGATGCTTTTTTGAGGAATATTCCAGTATCTTTAAAACATTATTCTTAAACTGTGGGAAATTTTTTAGAGCTTCAATTCTCTAAACGAAAACTTCAGTGCAGCAGAGTTTAAGAGAATGCATTGCGCCAGCCGCGGCGGCCATTGGAGGGTGAATCAACGGCAAAAGGAAGACCTTTCTCTCTGTCTCTCTCTCTCACTGTCCACTCTGCCTGTCCAAAAAAAAAAAAAAAAAAAAAAAAGCATTGATAGTATTTCACATGATTTTATCATTTGAGGGGGGAAATGTGGTAAAGTGCCCTTTTGCCATAGTGAATTCTTTTCCCCCAAAGATTTATTTGCTTGAAAGGCAGAGGTAAAGAAAGAGGTCTTCTATCTGCAGTTTCACTCCCCAAATGGCCCCAACAGGCAGGGCTGCACTGATTCGAAGCCAGGAGCCTGGAGCTTCTTCCAGGTCTCCCAAGCAGGTGCAGGAGCCCAAAGACTTGGTTGGGCCATCTTATACTGCTTTCCCAGGACACTGGAAGAACAGCCGTGACTTGAACTGGTGCCCATATGGGATGCCTGCACTGCAGGCTGTGGCTTTACCCCCTATGTGACAGTGCCAGCCCCACCACAGTGAGTGTTTTAAATGTTTAACAATGTATAGACTCCATTCTCATACTCCCATATAGTAAAAGTATCAATTTGCATAGAACAGCCCTGTGACCAAACTGTTCCATTTCTCAGCATCTACCCTAGACAAAGGCATACCAGCATCCCAAGAGGTATGCATAAAAATGCTAATTGTCTCCATTTAAATAAGAAAATGGAACCTATTTGCTAAGTTAATGGACTACTCTTCTGCAATTTTTGAAAGAAATTTAGATTAAAAAGGATCAATTAACACTTAAAAAATAGACATTTTATGTTCTAAACACATATACAGAACATATTTAGAAGCAACGTCATAGGAAGTCCTGAAAAGATATTTGGTAAACGGGTGATTACTTTCTTTGAAGGAGAGGGACATCCGAAGTTCTATTTTTATAGAATATATTTATGGATTACTTACATAATTTAACTGTTATTTCATTAGAGTAATAAGAGTAACATAATTGAGATTTCTGAGAAGTAGACATTGGGAGAAAAGAGAATTAATGAGCAATCAATATAGGATCAAAATAGAATAAAGCTGAAATAGAAGAAAAAAATTTTTAGATATTATGTTTTTGTGAGTGAAAGAAAGGAAATTAGAAAGCAGATTTTTAACATGTAAAATAAAATCATAGCTACAAGTGATTAATAAATTCCATATTATGATTTTAAAAAGTCTCCAATATAAATAAAATTATTTTAACACAACATGAAGACACAGATTAGGCCAAGTTCTTTCTGGTCTCCTAACTGAATTCAAGACAGCAAGGGCACTAAGCCTCTCAGATGGGTCAGGCTTTGGCTGAGTGCCTTCCCTGGATCTCTAAACAACATCAATACACTCCAGAACACCCTACAAGTGGAAGAAAGTCTCACAAAGATATCAAGAGCCCACTTCATTTAGGTCTGCAGGTACTAATACAGAGAAAATTCAAGATTTATCCCCTGAAATACTCCCCTATGTTTCCAACCTCGGTAATAAATTTTCTGGCAAAATTCTGGGCACAGAATTCCTTTACCTCATTAGCAGAATAACAGAAGGTCCCCGTTCAGCCAAAACAAACCTGGCTTAACTCTGTTGCTAAAGCATGATTAATATGCTTCCCTTTCTGAGTATTCTGTTTTGTAGATTAACTTTTACAAGTACCCTACCAATAAATTACTAATTTAACACTTCTTGGTTTGTACCTACTCTAAACCCTAAATAACCTTCTTTATTCTTGAAGTTATAAACTTGTTTAGGAAAATAGGAAGTTAAAGTACACAGGTAAATATACAGATGGTTCTCTGGTATTAGGAAACTTATCCATTTACAAAGCCCAAAAATCTTGCCAGAAGTCAACTAGTTAGTGAGTACCCAAGTGTCTCAGCACAGTGCATTCCTACATCACAACCTCTTATCTAAATTAGCTAAGTTACTCAACTGCAAATAAAAGTTGTAGAACAGTGCAGGCCACACTGGACAAAGACTATAGTTAATACACTGCTTCCAGTAAGAGTAACAGTATTCCTGGGTGCACAGAATGGATTCCAAAGACACAAAGTGTTTCCTACAGAAACATCAACAAAACCGAAACTTCGTGAATCCCACCATACATCAAGGATCACCTAATTCTTAATCTTCAATGAACACTGGAGTAGGAAGGCACCTGTTAGGACATTAAACTGAAATATTTTCACCAATCATTTGCAATTAAAACCCCCAAGTCACTTTTAAGTCTTAAAACCTGTAAAATTGGTTTTACAACCAATCAAGAATTCATTTTCTGGTGTTTACCCGATATAATGTATAATTAAGGTTAGAAGTAGGGAGGTAAGACAGCCATTCAGATTTTGCTTTCTTTGCTAAATTTTACTCTCTTCAATAAGTAACAGGCAGCAGGGAATTACACTAATATTAAACCTACAGCCAATTTTAATGTTTGCTCCAACTATGGAAATTAATGAACAACGAAGGAAGGAAGTGCATTTCTGTACAAAAACTAAAGAATTCAGTGAAGTCAACACTTATCTCCCTCTACTGGAGTTCCTGGGAAGAAACGTGGGTTTACAACAACCGCCTTATGTTTTATACCACCACATCCTTCATCTCATTTGATTCTCACAACCCCGTAAAAGTGTTCAAATTTTTTTCTGTTCCACTGTTAACCTTTAAATTTAAGTAGCAAAGCCTTGCAAGAAAACAGCTGTTATGTCTACACAAAAGCTCAATTAATTCATTATAATTTAACATGGCAAAAATGAAAGACACTGCCTTTTCATTTTATCTAGCTTTTCCATTTTTAAAACAACCAGGGTAGTTGCTGCAACCAAAATAAAGCACCAAGGGCCATACTGCATAGATCAGCATTCAAATGCTGACCACACAATCTAATCTCAAAAGGGAATAAGAGCTCACAGAATGTTAGATCACAATTTCCCTAACGTGCAATTCTCTCTCCTGTGTCAAACTATCCTGTTTCAATTATTTTCACTCACAATCATCGCCCAAAGCACTTTATGAGCCACCACACTCAGGGTCTCATGTTCAATGACTCCTTAGCAGTGTTCTGAAAACCTTGATTTTTTTTTCCGTTTTATCAACAAAACATCACAATCGCATTTCCACTTGGAAATAAATCTCCTTTGCTCCAACTTGCTGTAAATCTATTTACAAATCCGCCCAAATTTCCCCCCTAGAATGAACCGCGCTGACGATCCAAAGTTAAAGCTACTTTACCGAGTCACTCATTCACACAGTTCTGGGCCGCGCCAGCGGGGCCGCGCTGCCAAGTTTACCCCCTCCGTGCCCCCATCAGTCAAAGAGAACCTGAGGTCCCACCTCTTCCTGTCGCTCCCTTCCCACATGTCCATTTATGTAAATGGGTATCGTGAATGACACCTTGGCAAGAAATACCTTCGACTGACAGGGAAGCCGGGCCCGCCCCTCCCCCAGCCCCGCGCGGCCAAGTCCAGGAGTCGCCCCTCCGCACCCTCCCCGAGCCCCCCGCGGAGAAGCCACAGACCTGCCTCCAGAGTCTCCAGCGGGGGCGGCGGCGGGCCCGTCCCGGCGGGGGACAGGTGCTGGGGAGGCTTTTTGGTCCAGGGGTTTTCCTTAGGCGGCAGCGGCGGCGGTGGTGGTGGCAGTGGCGGCGGCGGCAGCTTTTCCTCGGGGCCGGCCGCTGCCGCCTCATCTCGGGCGTCCTCGGCCGGCGGCTCCCGCGGCGGCGGTGGCAGCGGCTCCCCGCCGAAGGGGCCCCCGGGCCCGCGCGCCTTGTGCGCCAGGTGCAGGGACAGGGGCCTCACGGGCACGGCCGCCTGGGGCACGCTGTGTCCCAGCACTGGCACCGGAGACGGCTCTCCCCGCGCCCCCGCGCTGGTGCTGGCCGCGGCCCTTTCCTCCCTCGCCGCCTCCTTCCCGTCTCGATCCGGCGGGGGCGGCTGCTCGGCCTGCCGGCTTGCCGCGGCCAACCGCGACTCCCTCTCTGCGGCCGCCGCGGGCGGATCCTCCCGAGAGTGAACGGCGGGCACCGGGGCGCGAGCAGACATCGTCCCCTTGCCCCAGCCACCCCAGCCGGGGGGGGCCCGGGGCCAGGGAGCCCGGGTGCCCGTCGCTCCGCCGGGGCACCGACTAGCGCCGGCCTGGGGCACAGAACCCGAGAGCCCGGCCGCCGTCGCCGCCACCGCCGCCCGCCGAGGCCGCGCAGCGCCCGGCGTGCCGGCCCGCGTCGAACGGAGCGCTAACCGCCCGCCGGCCCAGCCCTCGTCGGCGGCGCACGCCCAGAGCCAGCTAACACGCGCCGGGCGCCGCAGCCGGGAGCCGCGAGCCCTCACCTGGCGCGGGCAGCTGCGGAGGAGCCGGCAGCCGGGCTGGAAGACCTTTAGCGGCGTCTGGAGGCGCAAGCCGCTCGCGCCGGTAACTGCTCGAGGGGCGGGGCGGCGGCATGCGGAGGCGGGCCGAGGGGCGGGGCGGGACCTCCTCGCGGAGCGTGACGTGGCTGCTCCCCGACCCCGGCCGCCGCCGCCGCCGCCGCGCTGCGCGAGGTGGCCGCCCGCCCTGAGGGCCGGCCCCGCCCAGCGGCCCGGCCCCGCCCAGCGGCCCGCCGAGGGGGAGGAGGGCGCACCGGGCGATTCCCGGCTCGCGGGTGACGGTCGCCCGGGCTGTGAGCGCAGGGGCGGGGCGCCCGCCGGCCCTCTATGACTCGCTGGCGGGCTCGCGCTCGGCTCCCGCGGCGGCGACGACCGCCACCCGGGCCGCGGGGCGGGGCGGGTGGCGCACGTGGCGCTGGGGGAGCCGCCGGGCGATTTGCCCTTAGGCTCCGGGACCGAGTGGCCCCTGGGCGAAGGGCGCTGGGGCGGTGCTGGCCGCCACCCCCACCAGCACCGGGTGCCCCCGCGTGGGCCGGGGTCTCCGACCGGGCCGCTGTGCCCTTTGCGCCCAGCGCCTTAGCGCGGTGAAAGTTCCCTCCCTGGCGCTTCGGGGGCATCGCGGTGACCTGGAATCTGGAGCCAGGAACGCAGTGAAAGCGGTGTTATCTGTAGGTAATTGTTTATGAAACCTTTGCCCCGAAATTTGAGTTACTGCACTTCCCTGCCCTGATTCCCACCCACAAACTGAAATATTTTTAAAGTGCCCTTGTGTGAAACAGCTAATATTTCGCTTTTGAACTTTTTTATTCAGTATCCCTATAATTTGAAGGACTAACACTTGATGACGAATTATATTTTTTCACTAGAATGAATTTTAAAGTAGTACAAATTTTTTGATGATAAATCCGATAGGAGCTTCTGTATGGCTCTCAAATTCAGTTAGACATGATACTGGTTTTATGTGCGTTTATTTATGAGTTAATGTTTATGTGCGGGTACAAGGTCTCGGAGCAGAGATTCAATTCAATCAATTTTTTTTCTCAGCCCTTCCCCCACCCCTGTAAGGATTTGGGAGGAATTCTTCCTGGTTCCTTTAAGGCTGCCAAACCAGGCACATATAATGTCTGGGATTCCCACCTCCCTTGGGTTTCGCTTAAATCACATTAAATTTGAGGTTACGGGGTGTTTTTTTGTTTGCTTTTCGCTTTTTTTAAAGATTGATTTATTTATTTGAAAGAGTTACACAGAGAAAGGCAGAGAGAGAGAGAGGTCTTCCATTGCTGGTTCACTCCTCCAATTGGCCACAATGTCCAGAGCTGCATGGATCAGGAGCCAATAGCCAGGAGCTTCTTCCGGGTCTCCCACGTGGGTGCAGGGGCCCAAGGACTTGGGCCATCTTCTACTGTTTTCCCAGGCCATAGCAGAGAGCTGAGTTGGAAGCAGAGCAGCTGGGTCTTGAACCAACACCCATTTGGGATGCCGGCACTGCAGGCAGCGGCTTTACCCACTTTTTGTTTTTAACAAATTATTTCCCTAAGGCTAATCTATTTATTCAGCAGCTATAAACAATAAGACTTGTGTTCCATATCAGTAATCTCTAATTTATCAGACCCTTATCCACCTCCTGAATCCAGTTGCGATTAAGTGGGAATTTTACTTCCATCTATATCCCTGAGATGGGACACTTTTACCAGCTCTGTTATGAGTAAAGCTTTGTGTTTTTAACTACCGGGGCCGGTGCTACGGGGCAGCAGGTTAATGTCCTGGCCCGAAGCGCCAGCATCCCATATGGGCGCCAGTTTAAGACCAGGCTGCTCCACATCCGATCCAGCTCTCTGCTATGACCTGGGAAAGCAGTACAAGACGGCCCAAGTCCTTGGGCCCCTGCACCCACGTAGGAGACCAGCCGTTGCAGCCAATTGTGGAGTGAACCATCAGATGGAAGACCGACCCCCCCCCCCCCCCGCCCCGTGTAGCTCTTTCAAATAAATAAATGAATCTTTAAAAAAAAAAAAAAAAAACTACCAACTTGTTCTTGTTGTAATCAGCCCTTTGGAGTCCTGCCAGGTAATCCTTGCCTCCTTTTACAAAAGCCTATCAAGTTCACTGTGACTATGACTCAGAACACGTTATTTTACTCTCTATTCAAATACACATGGATTAAAGACTGGTGAGTCAGTTGAGAAAAGGTAATATGGATTGGTTCTCCCAAGTTTGATTTACATGGGCTACCTAACCATGGTTGCTTCATTTTTTCATTGTCATCTTTTTAAGTGAAAAGCCATACAGGGATTTCTTAGGTAAAGGGGAAGGATTAATGGAGAGCTTTTTTTTTTTTTTTTTTAATGGAAACATGGTTTGCTTGTAGAGAAGGAAGAACTGGAGGATGATTGAGTGTTCAGAATCAGACTGCAGTGTGCACCACTAACTCAGTGAAGGGAATTGGTATTTGTCTCCCTTTCAAATGCATACAAGTAACTCCTGTGTCCCCATAACTTCCTCTTTGAAACACCCTCACCTATCTTGTTGTTGCCCCTCCATATCCACTCTCCACCCTCTCCCCCTGCTCTAGTGCCAGGGAGGGCTAACCTGTTGAGATTGCACCAATGGGCTCCTTTGTCCTACTTGGTATCGGCATGGGTTCTGGCAGTGGGAATTATCTGCAGGACACTGTAGGCCAAAAAATAGTAAGGTCATGGTCATTCCCACAGCTGAGTCACATGGCTACTGGACTTTCTCAGTACTCTTACCCTCTCCACACCTTCCTTTTATTTTAATGGCCTGGGGTACCCTACCAGTCCATGGGGTACTGCCTTGTCCCTTGTTGATTTCCAGGACCATGCCCACATCTCTGTGAATAGCCCTTTTAGTAACTTCGAAATAGGGGCCAGTGCTGTGGCAGAGTAGGCTAAACCTTGGCCTGCAGCGCTGGCATCCCATATGGGCACTAGTTCATGTCCCAGTTGTTCCTCTTCTGATCCCACTCTCTGCTATGGCCTAGGAAAGCAGCAGATAATGGCCCAAGTGCTTGGGTACCTGTACAAGTGTGGGAGACCCTCAAGAAGCTCCTGGCTCTGGCCATTGCGGTCATTTGGGGAGTGAACCAACAGATGGAAGACCTTTCTCTCAGTCTCTACCTCTCTCTCTTTCACATAAATAAAATAAATCTCTCTTTCAAATAAGTAAAATAAATCTTTAAAAATGTAGAGCAGCTGGGACTCAAACCAGTACCCATATGGCATGCCGGCATATGGGCATATGCCGACACTATGCCACAGTGTTGGGGTCCCCCCAATTTTCATTTCTAACCTTTGTTTTTCTTTCCATCTCTGCTTTTTTTTTTTTTTTAAGGTTTATTGTATTTTATTTGAAAGGCACAGTTGGAGAGAAAGAGAGAGATGCTGTTTTATTCCCCAAATGGCTGCAACAACAGGCTGGGCCAGGCTGAAACCAGAAGTCAGGAGCTTCTTCCAGGTCTCCCAAGAGAGTGGCAGGCATCCAGGGACTTTCTGCTCTTTCCCAGGTGCATTAGCAGGGAGCTGGATTGGAAATGGAGCAGCTGGGACTTGAACCTGCGCTCATATGGGAGCACCAGCTCATTCCTCTGCCTCTTAGTTCAAAACCAAGAATGAAGGGCTGATTGGCTCCCCTTAAATTTTCTAGCCGGATCTCACAACTTATTAGTCCATCTAAAGAGCATTTACCCTTGAGTAGGCTGGCCACCTTAGCCTGGAGGAAAAGTCATTTGCTTCAAAAGACTTCCATCAAGGCAATAGGTGAAGCTGGCTTCCATATGTAAAAAATAGCATTCTTTAACCAGTTTTTTTTTTTTAATTAATTAATTATTTGAAGGGCAGAGTTACAGAGAGAGGACAGAGAGATCTTCCATCTGCTGGTTCATTCCCCAAATGGCCCCAATGGCAGCTGGGCCAATCCGAAGCCAGGAGCCGGGAGCTTCTTCCAGGTCTCCCACATGAGTTCAGGGGCCCAAGCACTTGGGCGATCTTCCACTGCTTTCACAGACATATTAGCAAGGAGCTGGATTGGAAGGGGAGCAGCCAGCACTTAAACCAGTGCCCATATGGGATGTAGGTTCTGCAAGTGGCAGTTTAACCCACTACACCACAGCACTGGCCCCTTTAATCAGGTTTTCTTCCCTTTTCTCTTAGTGAATGGCACTGCCTTCTAGGCATCCCTTCACCCTCCATTCCTAGTTCATTTACAAATATTTCCCAAGTATCTACAGACAGTCTTTAGTAACTCAGCAAGACCAACTGACTATACCCCCTAAGTGCCTGTCTACTCCTGTGCTGCTTTCTCCACTGCCACCACCATACTCCAAGCTGCCATCCTCCTTCTGTAGTAGTGGTACAGCCTCTTCACTGGCCTGTTTACCTCCAGTTAGGACTGCCTATTTCATAAAATTGTTGTTTGTATTACTTTTAAATCAACAGATTTAACTTAGGATGAAAGACATTAATTTTACTCAGCTACTACTGAGGTGCGATGCCTGATTTTTTTTAATGGAAAACTGAAATGTGCAGACTAGGTATCAAGTTATCTTTTGAAAGGGAGAATGGAGCCGGCGCCGTGGCTCAATAGGCTAATCCTCCACCTTGCGGCGCCGGCATACCGGGTTCTAGTCCCGGTTGGGGCGCCGGATTCTGTCCCGGTTGCCCCTCTTCCAGGCCAGCTCTCTGCTATGGCCAGGGAGTGCAGTGGAGGATGGCCCAGGTGCTTGGGCCCTGCACCCCATGGGAGACCAGGAAAAGCACCTGGATCCTGGCTCCTGCCATCGGATCAGCGCGGTGCGCCGGCTGCAGCAGCGGCCATTGGAGGGTGAACCAACGGCAAAGGAAGACCTTTCTCTCTCTGTCTCTCTCTCTCACTGTCCACTCTGCCTGTCAAAAAAAAAAAAAAAAAAAAAAAAAGAAAGGGAGAATGATTCTCTAAGCTCTCAAAAGTTATGAAACACATAAAATAATTCTTCTTGATGATCACATCGCTCAAAATGAACCTTAACAGATGAATCCTGTTTTTCCTGTTAGAGTATGCCAGTAAATCTTCAGGTGATTGAACACACTCCTCCCTACTTCCAGTGTCTCAGGACATTGAAGTCACAGAACAAAGTTCAGCTTCTCAGGGGTCAGCATTGTGGCACAGAGGGTTAAGCCTCTACCTGCAATGTTGGCATCCCATGTGGGCTCCTGTTTGAGTCCCAGATGCTCCACTTCCAATCCAGCTCCCTGTTAGTGCACCTGGGAAAGGAGTGAAAGATGGCCTAAGTGCTTGGGCCCCTGCATCTACATGGGAGACCCAGAAGAGGCTCCAGGTTCCTGGCTCCTGGCTTTGGCCTGGCCCAGCCTCAACCATTACAGCCATTTGGGGAGTGAACCAGCAGATGGAGGATCATTCTCTGTCTCTATTTCTCTCTCACCTTCTCTCTATCTTTCAAATATATAAGTCAGTCTTTGGGAAAAAAATCGAAAAAGTTCAAGTTCTCTAATATTATTACCAGTGTGATTTAGGTTCATGTTGACCAAAAACCCAATGGATATAGAGAGCTATTGGATACTAGAGAAGTTTCAAAGACTGCATTAGATATAATGTCTTTCAAAGACTTGTAGTCTAAGAAAATAAAAGGGAACCCCAATTTTTGTAACTTCCTACAAAATAACTACTTTTAAGAAGATGATTTTTTTACTAACAATGCTTTTTAAAATATTTATTTCTTAAAGGTTTATTTATATTTTGAAAGGCAGAGTTACAGAGAGGCAGAGAGAGAGAAAGTCTTCCATCCGATGGTTCACTCCCCAAATGGCTGCAAAGCCCAGAGCTGAGCCGATCCAAAGCCAGGAGTCAAGAGCTTCTTCTGGCGCACATGTAGGAAATTGACACTGCAGGTGGCAGCTTTACCCACTACACCATAGCCCTGAACCCAAATGTTTTGTTTTGTTTTTTGATATACTGAACCATCATTCTAATCTGCAAAGCTTTGAGTCTTGTGTAGCATAGTAACTTTTTTTTTAAAATATGTATTTGTTTATTTGAAAGGCAGAGTTACACAGAGAGAGAAGGAGAGGCAGAGAGAGAGAGAGCACGCGCGGGCTTCCATCTACTGATCTGAAGCCAAGAACCAGGAACTTCTTACAGGTCTCCCACACGTGTGCAGGGGCCCAAGGACTTGGGACATCTTCTACTCCTTTCCCAAGCCATAGCAGAGAGCTGGACCAAAAGTAGAGCAGCTGGGACTAGAACCGGCGCCCATATGGGATGCCAGCACTGCAGGCAGCTGCTTTACCCGCTATACCAAAGCGTCAGCCCCTAACATAGTAACTTATTTTTTTTTTTAAGTTTTATTTATTTATTTGCAAGTTAGAGTTACACAGAGAAAGGAGAGGAAGAGAGGAGAGAGAGGTCTTCCATCCAATGGTTCACTCCCCAGATGTATGCAATGGCTGGAGCTGCATCGATCCGAGGCCAGGAGCTTCTGGGTCTCCCATGCGGGTGAAGGGGCCCAAGGAATTGGGCCATTTTCCACTGCTTTCCCAGGCCATAGCAGAGAGCTGGATCGGAAGTGGAGCAGCTGGGTCTCAAATCGGCACCCATATGGGATGCCAGTGCTTCAGGCCAGGACATTAATGCACTGCGCTACAGCACTGGGCCCCATAGTAACTTCTATTACCTGTAATCTACAAGGCGGGATTAGTACTAATATATGTGTGATAGGCTTTGTATTCTCCACCCGAAATTTTCCTTAGAAACTACTTTCCATAAATGTAGCTGACATAATTGGACTTATATAGTGATACTGAAAGTGTCTTAGAAAATACTGGTTTTTTGCTACTTCCCTGTATCATACAAATGTGTAAAATCATTGTACTTGCTGTGCAGACACAGTTTCAAGTTAAATTTGGGCTACCTTCCAATGAAGATTGCTGTTGTTAAGCCCCTCCTAAGTAGAATTTGCATATTTCTTTACTTTGGGGTAGGTAGGTTATTTATTTATTTATTTATTTTTATTTAAAAGCCAAAGCAACACAGAGTTTCTACCTGCTGGTTCATTGCTTAAATGGCCACAACAGCTAGGGCCAGGAGCCTGGAACTCCATCCGGGTCTCCCCAGAGGCCCAGACACTTGGGTCGTCCTCCACTGCCTATCCAGCAGGAATGCTGGATAAGAAGCAGGTCAGCTGGGACACAAACCCAACTGCATCCTGATAAGGGATGCTAGTGTGAAAAACAGCCACTTAACCCCGTGGTACCACGATGCTAGCCCCTTTAGGTAGGCTTTAAAAAAAAAGATTTTTTTATTTATTTAGGTAGGTTTTAATAGGCCAATTTGTACAGAAGTAGGAAATAAAGCTCTCAAAAGTTAACATGTCTTAGCTTAAAACTCAACCTGTAATAGCAGTGCTAGAATTGAAATTCAAGACTCTGCCTTTCCTACCAGGCGGTTTAGCCTTTTTTCTTTTATAATAATTTGTAGTAACACAAGAGTAATACTTAATCTTTTAAAAATAATCTAGGTGCTGGCATTGTGGCACAGTGAGTTAAGCCGCTGCATGTGATGCCAGCATCCCCTATCAGTACCAGTTTGAGTGCCAGCTGCTCCATATCTGATTCAGCTCCCTGCTGATGTGCCTGAGAAGGCTATGGAAAATGGCCCAAGTGCTTGGGGTCCTGCCACCCACATGGAGACCCGGATGATGTTTCTTGCTCCTGGCTTTAGCCTGGCCCAGCTATGGCCATTGAGACCATTTGGGGAGTAAACCAGCAGATGAAAGATCTCGCCCTCACCCTCGCCCTCACCCTCGCCCCCGCACCCGCCCCCATTCCAAGTAAAATAAACCTTAAAAAAATGCCAGGAAATTTCTTTAAAAAAAAGACTTTTTATTCATTTATTTATTTTTGAAAGTGTTATAGAGGGACCAGCACTGTTGAGTAGTGGGCTAAACCTCTGCCTGTGGTGCCAGCATCCTATATGGGTGCCAGTTCATGTCCTGGCTGCTCCTCTTCCAATCTGTCTCTTTGCTGATGGCCTGGAAAAGCAGTAGAAGTTGGCCCAAGTGCTTGCGCCCCTGCACCCACAGGGGAGACCTGGAAGAAGCTCCTGGCTCCTGGCTTTGGATTGGTTCAGCTCTGGTTGTTGTGGCCATTTGGGGGTGAACCAGTGGGTGAAAGACCTTTCTCTCTGTCTCTCCCTCTCTCTGTGTAACTCTACCTCTTAAATAAATTAATTAATTAATCCTAAAAAAAAAAGTTATAGAAAGAGACCGAAAGAGATTTTCCGTCCTCTGGTTCACTCCCCAGATGGCCACGAAGCCAGGAGCTTCATCCAGATCTCCTACATGGATGGCAGGGACCCAAGCACTTGGACCATTCTCCACTGCTTTTCCTAGTCCAGGAGCTGGGTCACAAGTGAAGCATCTGGGACATGAACCAGCACCCATTTGGGATGCTGGTGTCACAAGTGGTGGCTTTACCCACCACACCACAATGCAGACCCCAGGAGCAGGTTTGTTAGAACTAATAATAATAATATTCAGTAAGCTCAAGAAAGCAAACTTTCTATTTTCCAATTTTCAAAGAATAGGGATTTTCAAACAACAGGTTGTGGGAGGAGTCAGTAATCCTTATAAATGCTTCATTGCAGTCCAGTTACATTTATTATTCGATCTTGTAATTACTAGTACAACATAAATATTTAAATTAATGTTCATATGAACTTAAGTGGTTGACACCAGGAACAAATGAGCTTTGTACAGAAATGAAGAAACAGTTTTATTGGGTTCTTAATATCTATCATGGCTTATTTTAATCAATTAATAAATATCCATGGAGTGCTTAATATGGAGCAGTAACTGGGCTAGACTGTAGGTAGCAGGTAACACTGTCAAACCACTCATTTCAGAAACAAACAGAGCAGATGGATGGCAATGGAGAGCAAGGGAAGTTAATAGGCATTTTCATATACTTAATCTATGATGAACTGATAGATACATCACCACTTTGAGGGGATATTTAAGTTCAGGAAATGGGCACGCTGATTTCAGGAAACTGCTGGTAACACTTTAATAATAAATATTATGTCCTTGCTAAGTTAATTTGAATTTATTTATTTGAAACATAGCAGAGTGACAGAGTGAGAAGCAAAGAGAGATCTTCCTTCAACTGATCTATACCCTAAATGGCTGTAAAAGCCAGGTCTGGGTCAGACTGAAGCCAGGAGCCAGGAACACCAACCAAGTCTCTCTTGTGGGTGACAGGAGTCCAAGCACTCGGGTCATCATCTGCTGCCTCCTAGGCACATTAGCAGGAAGCTGGATTAGAAGCATGGGATATCCAGGACTCGAACCAGGAACTCTGATATGGGATGCAGATGCCCCTGTATCCCCACTCTTGATTTTATGATGGCCTAATCTGACTTCCCATCAAGCTTCACATAGTGAATGGATATGTAGTTTGGTGATGATAAGAGTCTTATCCATTATTTGATTAATCCATTGTTCCATATTTCTTGAAAAATAATTTATTTTTTGATATTTAGAAGACTCTGTCTCTTTCTCTCTCTCTCTCTCTCTGTCTCTCTGTAAATCTTTCAAGTAAAATAAATAAATCTTTAAAGTAGGCCCATTCAGGTTTTTTTTTTTTTTACTTTCATTATAAATGTTTTCAAACATAAATGGAAGTAGGGAAAATAATGTAATATACTGAACTCCTATCATTCATTATCTAACAGTTAATTACATCTTGTAATTTTGTTAGGCAACTTCTAGAGGCTGCCTAAATTCCATGGCTCAGGGTCAAACTGCCTTTCCCTGTGTCATCAAAGCTAGCAGTGGTGGTTTGAGTCCTTCTCACATCCCTCTGATCTCCTCTTCTATAATCAAATCTCCCTCAGCCTCTCTTACTTGCTTTAGCCATGTTTAAGGACACACATAATTAATTGGAAACCACATGGATCATTCAGAATAATTTCCCCATCCCCAGGTTTGTAGTGTAGTCACATCTGCAAAACCCATTTTGCCATATAAGGTAATGTTCACAAATTCTAAGGATTAGGACTTGAAAATCTTTCAAGGACCATTATTCTGTCTTCTGCACCTTCAGACATACACTCAATGAATTCTCCTGGGAATTTTAAAGAAAATTGTAGACATCATAAAAATTTGCCCCTAAGTACTTGAGAATGCATCTCTTTTTCTTCACACCTCTCCCTTCAGTCCAGCTTCTTAATATTAACATGTTATTTGCCTTTGTCCCTAGGTTGACATTTCCACTGATGGTACAAAAACAGTGGCAGATAAGTGCTGGTAGTGGCACCAGACTGCACCAGCAGTCATCATACTCTTCACAGGAATACATTCATAGCTAAAAGAAACTGCACGCTTCACCTAAGAATGTCCTCGATGCAGCAGTGAAAATGACTGGACTAAAGCTTCACCCTTGAATGCAAGTGCATATTGAATATCTTCTTTTTTTAAAGATTTTGTTTATTTATTTGAGAGGTAGAGTTACAGTGAGAGGGTGAGACAGAGAGAAAGGTCTTCCTTCCGTTGGTTCACTCCCCAAATGGCCGCGATGACCAGAGCTGCGCCAATCCAAAGCCAGGAGCCAGGAGCTTCTTCCTGGTCTCCTATGCAGGTGCAGGGCCCAAGCACTTGGGCCATCTTCCTACTACTTTACCAGGCCATAGCAGAGAGCTGGATTGGAAGAAGAACAGCTGGGACTAGAACCGGCGCCCATATGGGATGCTGGTGCCGCAGGCGGAGGATTAACTTACTGCGCTATGGAGCTGGCCCCTGAATATCTTCATAATAATCCATATGATGAACTAGGAAGTGCATTTACATCACTTATACTATCCAAGTTTGATGATTGTCTTAAGGAAAAGTGCCTCTGAGATTGTTTGATTTGTAAGCAGTGCTGGCTGCTTTTTTTCATGGAATACATTTTTTTTTTTTACTTGAAAGAACAACAAAGTAGGTTTATTCATGCTTAGGTAATTTGGAAGATTTTTTCTCAAAAAATGAGCAAAATGAACCTGCTACATCAATGGAAGCCACTGACAGTTCTTATTGCTAGTGGTAAAATTCAAGCTCTCAAAAGAGAAAATTAGTGGTTTGGAAAAATTTGTAACTACTACCATGAGCTCAACAGCTTCCCAATGCTTAAAAGATTTTCTGGTGTGATGAGTAATGATTTTAATGAATGTAATATTCAATGTTGCATAATGAAATGTGTCCACATTGGGCAGGTCTGCATAACTCAGTGACCCAACATTTTCCAAATGACTAAAAATGTTAGAAAAGTATACATAAGGATAGTGAAGTAGGTAAGAGCTGGATTGGAAGTGGAGCATCCGGGTCTCGAACTGGAAGCCTCTCTTTTCTTCTTACATAAGTACCTACATAATATCCTGAGTTTAGTCTTTGGGCTTGCAAAGCATAAAGTATTTAGTACTTGACCCTTTACAGAAAAAGTTTGGTTAGCCCTGATCTAGATTTTAGTAAATCTTAACAGTGATCACACATTTAAGTCACCCTGAGATATCTGGGGGGAAAATGCCCATGTAGGGGGAGTCCCTCTCCCAGAGATTCTGATTTAATTGGTCTGGAGTGCAGCCTAGTCTACAGTAATTATTAAAAGCTCCCCACTGAGACTCAAAGCTGTCCTAGACTTGAGAAATATGGGTTTAAGTGATATAGACATTCTGATACATTTTTTAAAGTGTCATTAAGATGAAAACACAATTTTGCTCATTCTAAAAAAAAATCAATTTGAGAATTACAGAAACCAAGGGATATGTAGAGCCCTGAATCCTATATCTGAGTTCTAGAATTCAAATCCCAGCTCTGCTTCCAATTCCAGCTTCCTACTGATATGCACCCTGGGAGGCGGCAGGTGATGGCTCAAGGACATGTATCGATGCTTCCCACATGGGTGATCTGGATTCAGTTCTGGGCTCCTGGCTTCGGCCTGGCCCCGGCCCTGACTGTTGCAGGATTTGGAGAGCAACCACGTTGATGAAGATCTCTGTCTCTCTGTGTGTCTCAGTCTGCTTTTCAATTGGCAAAAATAAATAAAAATTATTTTTTTTGGAAAAGAAAGTCATGGGAGATGAAGAAATTTCTGCTTAAAATCTCTTTATAATAAAGGTTATAACCCAGCACATTGGAAAGAACACTAAGAATCATTCTGCAAATTTTGTGGAACTAAGTAGCGCATGGAACTGTGTCAGTCACTGACTGCATAAGAAGAGCTAGGATCTGATAGCTTTCTAACAGTGGGTTTGGAAGGGTGGAACACAATTAACTAATTGTTTAAATACGATTAAAGGGGACTGGCATTGTGGTATAGTAGATAAAGCCACCACCTGTGATGCCAGCATCCCATAGGGGCACCAGTTCCTGTGCCTGCTAGCATGCCTGGGAAAAGCAGCGGAAGATGGCCCAAGTTCTTGGGCTCCTACCACTCATGTGGGAGACATGGATGAAGCTCCTGGCTCCTGATTTTTCCCTGGCCCAGCCCTGGAAGTTATGGCTGTCTGGAGTGAACCAATGGATGGAATATCTCTCTCTGCCTGCCTCTTCCTCTGTCTCTGAAACTCTTTCAAATAAATTAATTAATCTTTAAAAAATATATGTGATTAAAGGCTGTGGTAAAGTAGCCATGAGTGTTAAATATGAAATTAAGGTCCAGGGCCAGTGCTATGGCGTAGCAGGTAAAGCCACTGCCTGCAGTGCCAGCATCCCATATAGGCGCCGATTCTAGTCCCGGCTGCTCCACTTCCCATCCAGCTCTCTGTTATGGCCTGGGAAAGCAGCAGAAGATGGCCCAAGTCTTTGGGCCCCTGCACCCACATGGTAGACCTGGAAGAAGCTCCTGGCTCCTGGCTCCTGGCTCCTGGCTCCTGGCTTAGGATCGGCTCAGCTCCAGCTGTTGCGGCCATTTGGGGAGTGAACCAGCGGATGAAAGACCTCTCTCTCTCTGCCTCTCCTTCCCTCTCTGTGTAACTCTGACTTTCAAATAAATAAATAAATCTTAAAAAAAAAAAAAAAAAAGAAATTAAGGTCCTTAGCACAAGCTAGGGGAAATCTCTGGACTGAGGATTGATGCAAAAGGGGAAAGAAAGACTCCTGGCTGTACTGTAAAACGGAGCCAAGTTCAAGTACCTGAATTTCTCTCACTGTCTTCTCTTTTATAAAACAGGTATAGTGGTGCTGGCACTGTGGTGTAGTGAGCAAAGGTGCCTCTTGCAGTGCCAGCATCCCATAAGTTCGAGTCCTGTCTGCTCCACTTCTGATCCACCTCTCTGCTGTGGCCTGGGAAAGCAGTAGAAGATGGCCCAAGTGCTTGGGCCCCTGCACCCACATGGGAGATTGGAAGAAGCAGGTGGCTCCTGGCTTCATATCCCAGCAGCTCGAATCATTTTATGTGTTTGGGGAGTGATGCGACATCCGAGTACAAACAAACTTTCAAATGTGAATTTTTTTTTTTTTTTTTTTTGACAGAGTGGACAGTGAGAGAGAGAGACAGAGAGAAAGGTCTTCCTTTGCCGTTGGTTCACCCTCCAATGGCCGCCGCGGCCGGCGCGCTGCGGCCGGCGCACCACGCTGATCCGATGGCAGGAGCCAGGTACTTCTCCTGGTCTCCCATGGGGTGCAGGGCCCAAGCACTTGGGCCATCCTCCACTGCACTCCCTGGCCACAGCAGAGAGCTGGCCTGGAAGAGGGGCAACCGGGACAGAATCTGGCGCCCCGACCGGGACTAGAACCCGGTGTGCCGGCGCCACAAGGCGGAGGATTAGCCTAGTGAGCCGCGACGCCGGCTATTTTTTTAAAAAAGATTTTTTTATTTATTTGAAAGGCAGAGATTCAAAGAGTAAGGTAGAGACCAAAGGAAAAAGACTGCAACAGCCAGAGCCAGGCTAGGCTGAAGCCAAGAGCCTGGAATTTCATCCAGGTCTCCCACTTGGATGCAGGGGCCATCCTCTGCTGCTTTCCCAGGCACATTAGCAAGGATCTGGACCAGCACTCAACTGGGATATTGATGTCTCAGGAGGTAGCTTAACCTTGTGCACCAAAATGCTGGCCCCACAAATGTGAAACAATTTTATAAAACAATTGCAAAAAGATTTCCAAGAATTCTCAAATCACCTTTGTAAACTACATCTAAAATCTTACATAGCCGTGATACATTTGTTAAGACTAAGAAATTAACATTGGTAGTCCACTATAAATGATAAACTGAATTCAGATTTCACTGCTTTCTTCGCCAGTGTGCTGCTTCTGTTCAGGGATGCAGAACACTAGCTGTTAATGAAGCTGAGAATGAACTTTACTGATTCTGTTTAGATTCCACATTGTAACTAGCCCGTAAGAAACTATTCCCTGTGGAGTTTGGGTATAATATCAAAGAAAGATTTCCTCCATTATCTGAAGCCTACTAAAATACTCTGTTTTCCAATCAGATTTTCTATGTACAGTTAAACCAAAACAATCTGCTGCAATAGATTATGCAGAAGCAGCTATGAGAGTCCAGATGTCTTCTGTTGAGCTAGATTTTAAGGAGATTCGCAGAATTATAAAATGTCACACCACTCAGGGTTTTGTTTTGTTTTGGAAAACAAATTGATGTTCCATTTTTAAAAGATATTGTTGTTAGCATGTGTGAGTTGAATGATGTTCCCTGAAAAGATACGTTCAGGCTCCAACCCCCAGCTTCCTGAGAATGTGAACTTATTTGGAGATGTTATCAAAGTAAAGATGAGGTCATACTGGATTAAGGTGACTCCTAATCCAATGAGTGGTGCCCTTAAAAGAAAGAGAGTAATTTGGAGACAGACAAAAATGAGACTGGTTTGTGAAGACAGAGACAAGAGATTAGAGTGATGCGCCTACATGCCAAGGAGCACAAACATTGCTGGCAGCCACCAGAAGCTAGGAGTGAGGCATGGAACATATCCTTTCGAGAAACTTCAGTGAGCATGGCTCTCTGGACACACTGATTTCACACTCCTAACCTCACAGTGCCACCCTGTTCATGGTACTTTTTTATAGCAGGCCTAGAAATCTAATAGAGTTGTCTCTGGGGATCTATTCTGAACTCCCTAGTGGATGCCTGCAACTGTGGAGAGTAACGGACCCTATTATAAACCAAAGCATTTCACAAAGTTCATGGAAAATGCATATAATGAGAAAAGTATTCATGGATTTCAGATTTTTTTTGCACCAAAATAAACTTGCATTTTCATTGCATTCTTACCCTTGTACTATGTTTTTTTCCTGTACATATATTCCTATGATAAAGCTTAATTTATAAACCAGGCACAGTAAGATTAACAGCAGTAAATAAAAATGAGCATTTATAATAACATACCGTAATAGTCACTTTAAAATTTATTGGTTTTGCTATTTTCCATTTATTATTTTTTGACCTTGGATAACCTGAGTA